TGCACTTGATTTGGGCATATTGACTCAACAATCATGATCCACTTTAAAATATATGTCATCATATCACATTTTTAGATTGATGTGATTTAAGTTCCATGTAACTCAATTCATGCTTGAGTCCCTCATTGTCCATGGCGTTGATCCTCTTTATTGGTTCGAACCAAGCTCTCTTGCAAACATGCTTCAAGTTCTATTCCATGTATGTTGCTTCAAGGCCTCTGTGTTCTGAGTTCAATTAAATCCAGGTACGAGTAAAATGAGTTCATGTCCACAATACTAATTTATTTGAGTTTTGTCATTGTTCTTTTCAAGTTCACATGCAATCCAGTTTGAGTCCAACTCAAGTCTTTGTAGTTATATTGTGTCATTTGCAAGTTCAAGTTCATATTCAATTAGAATTGAATTTAATTGGGTTCAAGTTCATTTAGATGATTGAATCAAGTCCACAAGTCCCCAAATTCTTCCAAGTCCTTGTCTTATTTCAGACAAAATTTCGGCAGCCTCCCGGCTTCCCCCGTTTAGGGGAAAACCAAGAGGCCGCTACACGCCACGTCACTAAAGACGTGCACGGTTGGTGTTGGTGAGACACCGCGGAGGTTGTATTTTTTGTTTTCTCCCACACGCGCACTAAAGGCGTGCTTGGGGTTTTTAAAAAGTATTTTTTGAAATAAAGCAGTTTTTGATTTCCCCGCCCGGGGTACTTATAAGTGACCCCGCTTCGCCGTACGTGCTGCACGCGGGGTTTCATCCTACCACGGCCAATAAATGCATGCTTTAGGACAGTTCTCCAATTTGCACGAATATTGAAGCAGGTTTTGAGTTTAGAAGAGTACGTACCCCTCCGCGGGGTTGTCGTGGTTGACACGTGGATCGAGGGGTCACTCGCTTACCTCGTCGTAGGTGTCGCACCAAGTTCCCCCTACACGGCCACTAAAGGCGTGCTTAGGTGGTTTGCCGTCCGACACGGACATCGAGAAAGAGAGTGGGAGGGGAGGCGACTGTCCGCCCTCGTCGTAGGCGTCAAAGAACCGGTTCCCTCCTACCACGCTCAATAAAGGCGTGCTTAGGTGTCTACCGGCCCGTCGTACACGCTGAGGACAGGAGTCTGAGTTTAGAGATTATACCTTCGGGAACCGGCGGACCGGTGTTGCCGGCGATAGGGCTCGGATGTCGAGCGGGAGAAGGCACGAGCATTCTATTTTATTAATTTAGTTAATTAAAATTAATTATATTTAGATTAATAAATTATAATTAATTATAATTAACAATAATTAATTAAAAAATTATAATTAATTATGATTAAACTTAATTAATCATAATTAATTAGAAATCATTTTTTAATTATATATTAAAATAATTAAATCATAATTAACTTACTAATTAACATTAATTATAATTAATTAAAATTAATACAAATATTATAATAATAAATTTTATTTACAGGATTTGGCCGAGAGAATTGCTCGGAAGGTAGAAGGCTACCTTCACTGCCCGTGAGCTCCCGTCGTTGATCCCGATCAAAATGTTGTAGCTTCCGTTTTCTACAGGAAGGGAGAGTTGTTGCTTGAGCAAAGTCGGACGGCCACGAGCGGAGAGAAACGAAAGCGAAGGGGAAAAGAAAAGCTAGCCCGTTCCCAAAACAGTCGCGAGCTATTCGTGTTCCGATCCAACAGGAAGGTTAAAGTCGTCCTCCCATATTTATAGGTATGAAAGAGGAATACCAAGAGACACATTACATTAATTTTATCAAAAGAAACTAAGCACCATAAGCATAGAAATCCTTCCCCATGCTCACGGAAATCAATCCAAACCAGGAACCGAAGCAGCCACCGCGGGAAACAAGGAGGCCGCACGGAACCAAGGGGCCATGGCCTCGGGAAAGAGCCCAGGCACGGGAAAACCAGCGGCCGGCCGGAATCCAAGGGGGCAAAAGCATAAAAAGCCATGGTGGAAGCCAAGGAGCCACCATGGAAAAACCAAACAATTTCTTGGGATTCTAAAAGCCCTTTTTGGAAACCCAAGAGACAACTTTAAGACATTAAAAATTATAATAAAAGTGCATTTAAATAAAAGATAAATATGAGCTAAAACTTAGCTAATAATGAGCTATCTTTTAGTTCCATTTAATGAACTAAAATTCAGCTCATAAATGAGCTAAAATTCCAGCTCAAATAGTAGACTCAATGGAAGCCAAAATTCATATTATTTTGGACATGAGTTGACCCCCCCTTTGTCTACATCAGCCTTGAAGGTGCTTGACTTGGTAATAAAGTTTGATGCGGACAACTAGATAGAAAGATCCAAGAGGGGAGAACACCAGGACAAATAGAACATTACTCGATTCAATAATTATAATGCGAACATCCAAACAAACATCAAAACGAACGAGAGCCAAACAATCGAAAGAAAATTAAAAATAAAAACAACTACTCTCAGAACAACCGGCAAGCGGTTTCCTCACATGCAACGAAATAATAGGCAATATAAAAGATGTGCTTAAGCGCATACAAATCAAGGGTCCATCATAGCTACTTGGGCCAACGTCCACCAAAACTCCTCCGGCAAATGCTACCAAACCCAGTCAACCAACACTTCCAATAGCTCAAGAAGAAAGATACAAGTGGAGTGGACTTTATATATGATACTAAACATTGGTTAGGTCCTTCTCACTTGCAACTCTTTTCTCCGTGTGTTTTTGTCAAGTGCACCAACTGGGCTTCCTCCTTCTAGTACAGCCTAATCCAACCTGTTTAATTTTTCCTACTTCTGAACTTTTTTAGTTTTCCTTTTATTTTTTTTATATTGTTAAATACTCTCTCCTTTCTAGGATGATAGAGTATTTTGGATGACCACCCAGGACTGTCTTGAAAACATTGAATTATATCTGGTGTTTACCAATCAAAAGATTTAATTCCTCATTCCTTTTACTCTTAAGTTTTTTTTTTTTCATGCTATGAAAATTGCTAGTTTGTTACAATGCGAGATTAATGAAGTGGAGTATGAAATTGCAGTGTTGAACTTGCAAATCAAAGGTCTTAGAAGAGCAATGAAACTAATATCCTTCCATTATATAGGGTTTAATGATAAGGTTTGCCAACAATAGAATTTCAGCTCTACGACTAAAGAGTTTTCTTAGAATTGATTTAACAAAATAATTTAGATGTACGGTATTTTAGATTTTTTCTTTCAATTATTAAATTTAATTTAGAGTTTTAGATTTATTTTTTAGTATATATTGCCTTTTGTTGGATACTTTTTAGGTTTGAATTTGAATTAGGATTATGTTTGATTTCGATCTGATATTTGTACTCTAATTACTATATAGGGATTATTGGCTTATATTTTTAGATCAATAGATGATGATTTTATCCTTTTTTTTCATCTACTGCTACTTTTATTCTCCTTTTTTTCTCCATCTACTGATATTGCAGTTTCTTCTTTCCGATAGCCGCTTTACCTCAATAACGCTTAGGAATTATAACAAAGTAGCCCTCTTGAAAATATGAAACATAATAGTAATTGTTTATAAATCTAAAATTCAAGCACATTAAAGACGATCCCATCAATCTAGATCATTAATTGTGGAATGACAAATATCATACAACGGCATTCTAATTCTTCAGTATTTTCAGATTTTTTTTTTTAAAGAGTAAAAGGCCAAAATAGTCCCCTGACTATTAATAAATGCTCAATTTAGTCTCAGACTTTTATGATGACCTAAATTAGTATTCCGATTATTAAAAAATGTCCTAATTTGATATCAGGGCAAAAAATAACAGTTAAAGTTAACCCCAAAAGTTAAATGTGATTTCATTTTGAATATTTTGGTGCATGCGAGATTATATTATTTTTTATTTATTTTTGTTATTTATCATATTAAAATAAATAAAAAATCATAATGAAAATTAACCAATTAAATAGTAAGGGTTAGTAATTAATAAATGTGGTTAACTTCCACTATTATTTTTGTATTTATTTTACTATGATAAACAACAACAACATCAAACCTCCCATAATATGGGGTTGGTTACATGAATCTTTTTTTTTCTATTGTGTCATGTTAAGAGTCAAATTCTCTTTTAAATCTAATAAAGAAAGGTCATTTTTATTATTTTATAACCAAGTCTTTTTTTTGGTATACCTCTACCTTTCTTAACATAAGTCAAATCTAATACATTTATTTTCCTAATGGGTCATCGAAAGGCTACCGTTTTATGTGACCAAACCATCTAAGGTGACTCTCTTTAATCTTATCTTCCATTGGAGCTATTCCAACCTTTTCACGTATATATGCTCATTTCATATCCTGTATTTAAGAGTAAACCTAGTCATCCACCTGAGCATCCTCGTCTCTGCAACATTTAACTTAATATTATGCTTCTCTTTTAATGGCTAGCATTCTGCACCATAAAACATTGCATGTCTCACCACCATCTTATAGAATTTCCCCTTCAGTTTGAGAGGAACTTTTCTATCACACAACATACCCGATGCATTCCTCTACTTCAACCATCACTTGAATTTTACTAATAATATTCCTATCTATTTCACCATCACTTTGAATAGTAGATCCAAGATACATACTATGATAAACAGCAAAATTTATAAAAATAATAATATAATTTTATATACATCATAATATCCAAAATGTCCTTATATTTAACTGCTGGGGTTAACTTTAACTATTATTTTTGGCCTTGGGATCAAATTGAGATAATTTCTAGTAGTTGGGGGGACTAAATTATAGCATTATGAAAGTCTCGGACTATACTGAGTATTTACTAATAGTTAGGAGGTTATTTTGGACAGTTACTCATTTTTGAAAATAATATTATATGGCCCATCACTGTTATTTTTTTGTTTATGTTTTGTATCCAGTTTTTTCTATAATTTTCTTACTCTAATTCAGAAATTATAATTTTTTTAGCTTTTATTCCCTGATTTGTTTAGTTTTTTCTGATTCATTTTGCCTTAAACTTACATTTCATTGTTCCTTTTAGAAAATTGCAGGAGCGAGTTTGTGTTGCTGGTTGCAACCCCGCAGTGATAGAATCTCCAAGTGAACCAAGATGGTCCCCCAAAGGTTCTAATTTTTTTTACAACCTTTTCTTTTCTGTTTATGCATATCACTGATTTTTCACCACTAATTTTTTTGGGTTGAATTTATTTGCCAATACTACTAGAAGCTAAAATGATACCTATGTGTGATAAGTTCTCTTATGTCTATTCTAATGAATAATGAAGATACAAGTGAAGATATCACTCGTAGAAGAAAGGTTGAGTGATTAAGATGGTGAAGTGCTTTTGGAGTTCTATATGATTAGACAATATCATGCAAACTAAAAGATATATTTTATAACAACTCAATTTGTTCAGTTATATTATATGAACTTGAGTGTAATGTTCAGTTATATTATATGAACTTGAGCGTGAGCAACAAAAGTTATTGATAGACTAGTGTGATAGTGATGAGAATGTTGCGATGGACATGTAGCAAAATTTTTAATGACAGACTAAGAAATTATGATACTAAAGGAATGATGGAAGTAGCATTTGTTGATGATTATGTAGTGGAAAGGCTACGTGGCTTGGGCATTTATAACAAAAGGTAGAAGATACATCACGAATAAATCAAGTATATTAGGGTATGTATGAAGATTATGGAAACTAGTGGTGCATGAAATGTAACTTGGATAAAAATTATGCAAATGATTTATGAAAAATTGATTTGACAAATCGAGAACTGAGATTCATAATTCTAACCTCAAATAATTGGGCAAGTTTTTTTTTTTAATTATTATTATTTTTTAAATAATTGGGTAAGGTTAATAATGATGATGAGTTAGGTTTAGGTATTGTGTTTGGGCGATGTTTATGATGGAAAATGAAGTTTGTATTATTATATTTGGTGAGCGGAGTGAAATCCCATGACCTTGATGATAACTGATATCATTATTATTATCATCAGCATTAAGCCTTCTGACAACTATTGATGATCGGTGGTATGCAGCACTGGATTTGTAATTTTCGATTTGGTAGACAGGATAATAAATTCCCTAACATTAATGCCCCCTCATATGTGAGGTTTAATTTGATCAAATTTTTGTGACAGTGTTCCTGTTTTGTTCCCACCTTTTATTGCTGTAATTAGAGTATTATTATATTTCTCAATCACTTGTTCTAACAAGTCAAGATGTAAAAAAAGAAAAAAAAATTAAACTTTTTTCAACTATTTCCAAAGAATGGCTTTTACCTAATTGAACATCATTAACATAACATTAAATAATACTAAATAATCTTCAACATTTATTTTAAATCAAAATAATTACCTCACTAAAGTCTTCTTTTCTTACAAATTTCCTTTTTCTTCCTCTCCCAATTTCTTTCTTTTACCTTTAATTGAGCATCCCTCTCTACTTAGATAAAAATCATGGAATGATTTAAACAAAAGTAATAAAAAAAATCTACGAACATACCGTCGTTCTTTGTCTTCTTTCTCTCTCGGTTGGTTTCCCTAGATGCAACACTTCTCACTTGATTTTCTCCTACAGGAGTGAGTGAACAAAAGATATGACTCACAAGGAGTCGTATATTTTCACTTCCGTATATGATCCTTCGCTCAGAACCACGATTTCACCTATGATAGCCGACGTATTTGACGTTACTCTTAAGGATATTAATCAAATTAATTCATTGTTGCTTTGAATTTGTGAAGCTGTTAGCAATAATTAATGCAAATGAGTATTATGAGAACAGCTTAAGATTTTTATATTTGAGCTGAGATAAGTATTGGAGGTCTAATTCAATGAATTGGATTGGAAGGATCTAACAATAATCAAGTGGGTAATTATAATGTGATTATTTTATTCAATTTCAATTTCTTTTTATGTTATTATAATTTCCTTTTAAGTATTGTAGTTATTGTTTTATATGAATTAATGGAGAGAATAAGGAAATGGAAATGTGAATTATCATTGTATGGAATTATCATAGTATAGATGATATGGTTAAATGCTACATATGGAACAAAATTGAAAATGATGGAATTACTGAGGTTTATAGTGTAATGTATATATGAATAATGATTTATATGAAAATGAAAGCACTAAAATAAGGAAAATATGCATGCATGCAAATTACAAGAGTTTATCCCCTTGTAGTATTAGCTAGGGATGCAATGTATCCATGCACGTTAAATGGAAATGAAAATAGAAATGACTGTACCTTTATTTGTACATTTAGATAGTGCTCCTGTACTAAATGAAAATGGAAAAGGAATAACTGCAAAATGAATAAAAGTTAATGGAAAAAAAGGAATATGCTATTTGATAAATATATATAAATGATTTATGTCATATAAAAAAAAGTTATATATATATATATACACACACACACACACACACAAAATAAAGTCAAATGAATATGTTTATTTTATGTATGTAAAATTGCTATGTTGCAGGTGTGATTACCATTGAGTTTACTATGTAAACTCAAATTGTTAAACTACTTTTTTTTAAGGTAAATATTCAGAAAATGAGAAATGATTGAAAGAGAGGAATACGTCTGCAGAAGACGACAATCGAACGAAAGAAAGTAAAATATGATTTATGTAAATATTCAAATGTGTAAGAGGTGTTAGTGGCTTTTCTGTTTTTATATGGGTGGGATATAATTGAGAATCTGTTTTTGAATTTGAAAGAAATATTTTAACCATCCGACTATTTGTTCCCTCGTTAATTCAAGTCTCCGGGTTGGGTCATGACATAATATGATGGAAAATAGTGGTTGAACATAAAATTTCAGCAATGATCAAATTTGTACTTTAAAAAGAAAATTCAATACTTATCACTCTTCGAAAAAACTCCACTCATATACGTAAAACCAATGATTAAATTAACTAAAATATGAATAATGATAAAATTCACTTAATAGGAGAAGTAAAGTCTCATTATAGTACAGGAAGACTCACTTTCTGAAGTAGTCTTATCCACTCGTGATGCTCTTGAAAATTGTACATCCAACAATCAAACACACTAGGATATTGGAAAACTGAAAGCAACTATAGTTACGGGCACAACAATCATTAAATCTGTGAGACGAGTATGTCGGAAGGAAACATGTATATTATTCAACAGAGGACCCCTTCATATTGGCCAATATAACAAGCAAATGTATTTCAAAATAAACACACTCCACAAGTTATATTTTGAGATTTTTATGATGATATTTTCTTAAGCTAACACTCCCCCTGAATTTGGAGGATATATATCAATCATGTCAAGCGTTTTTACTTAGCTTGTAAAAAACTAAAGTGGATCCAAAGCCTCAATGAATATATTTGCTGGTGAGAAACATGAGAAATAGAAATATTCTTTAATAGCATTGCATCTTGAATAACGTGACAATCAACCTCTATGTTTTTTATTCTTTCTTTCTTGAAACATACGATTAATGAGAATGTAGATGTCATCATGATTATCCCCGTTTAATACCATAACTCTATTGGAAAACCAAATTGCCTTATGAATGTTTTAACCCAGATCATCTTATAAGTAGAGTGTGCCATTGTTATGTATCATATATTTTAGCTTAATATAGTCACCACTATTTGTTTCTTACTCTTCTACGTAAGTTTCCTAAACAACAACTTCAAGCTTTCATCCCACTACGTGGGATTGGCTACATAAATCCTTTTTCTCCATTATTCTTTTAAGAGTCAAATTCTCATTTAAATATAATAAAAAAGGTCATTTCTAATATTTTCTAACAAAGTCTTTTTAGTTCTAGATCTACATTTCTTAATATATATCTAAGGTCATTTTTGATATATCTCAGGATAATAGCTTCTAGAAATTTGTGTTTTGGACTAATAATGAGAGAAATAGGTGGATAGTGGATTCACGGACCTTGGAGGAGGAGGGGATGCTCAACTATTTCAAATAATGTGGTGGGAGATGGTGTTGTAGATTGTGGCAGAGGTCTAGTTTTCTATGCTTGTAGAGGTGGCGAAATATATATAAATGATCTAGGAGGTAGAGGAATATGTGGAGAGGGTAAATCAGAAGGGGGAGGTGGAGAAAAGTAGGGAGGACACATGAAAGATGATATTTATTTAAGTATAAACATGTTTAGTGGTTGGGAAATAGTGATGATAGCCTTTCTTGAAAGAGTATCCCAGAAAGATGCATCGAATAACACAAGAAAAATGAAGGGGTTGACTTTACCAAGTATAGTTGATGAGATTCAATTAGTAAGATATCATTTAATCACAATCGCTAAACCCTAATATTAATGATGAACATTCATATTGAATTCAATTTATGGGTTATGTTAAGTAGATGATGAATCTTGCATTCAACAATCCCATTCTATTGATCAAGCCACTGATAGCCCTGTTCGGTCTCTACTTATTGCTCTCTTTTGATCGACAATTGTTGTAAGACATCCAAGCTCTTCATTACTCAAGCCTGCTAGTCTCACACGGTTTCAAATCCTCTTTGTTGGAGAAGATGGAATATCCTGCAAAGTTACTTGTTTCGTCTTCTCCCCTCTACTTCTCCTGTTTGATTTTGCCATTTAAAGATTCAGCGCTCTCTGGCAACTCTTCGCGATCCAAGTTGGAACCCTTCATCTTCCTCGTTTCTACACTCTTTGTCTTAGCTAGGTAACATAATGGACTAGTTTTTCATTTGAAGTGACACAGTTGGTTCGACTTCTTGTGTGAGAACGAACCGGCCCCTTTTCGTCTTCATCAACAGCAACTAACTGTAAAAGCACTAATAGATTTGAGGTATTTCATTCCACAAGCTTCAAGACCTGGACAAATTATTGTCCTTGTACTAAAATCCTAAAATACATGATAAGATGGATAAAATGTTATGGAATAGTTGAATGTTTTAGTAAGACAATAAACAGATAATAAATTGATAGAAAATTTGTGACACATAAAACAGATGAGAGTGATAAGCTCTTAGAGAGAGATATTCTTTTACAGACTCAAGTGAGGGGGAACTATCAATAAAAAATATCATGAGATAGTGAAGACATTGCAAGGAAGAAGAAGAAGACTAGGCAATTATTTGTCGTATATGAAGTACCTATGTATAGAATGCAGGATATTTCGGAAGTTGTAGTTCTAGAGCTAGAGGAGGGAATGGCACGAGAGACAGACATAGAGGTTTGACAGTGTTGAACTAGACAATCATAATTCTCTTGAGAGTGGGTGAGGTCCTGAAGTAGTGGGTGAGCACTAACACGGTGTTGCTAACACATTTGTCAGTGAGGAGGATTGATCGTAGTGAGATTATAAAAAGCATTATAAGCTGGCCATACCCTTGTAATAATGGAGTTATTGTAGGGTGTAACCTTTAAGGTAGGAGCTGAAGGGTCAGGCTAGGGCAGAAGCGAGGCAGAGGGCTCAAGAAAGGTTGTAAGCATTTTTTGGTGAGGATGTAGGGTAGGGCAATTGAACAGTAGAATTTTGAGCGGGAGTGGGAGCTTGGGCGGAGGGAGCACAAGTGTTTAATGCGGGAGCGCAGGTGCTTGGAGTATGGAAGCCATAAATAGAAACAAGGAAGGTGGCAATTGGGTTTTTTTGGGGGTTTTGCGGGATGGGGGTTAAATTGGAATCTATGTTAGTGGGAAACTTACATATTATTTAATAGAATCACCCTTTTTTCTTATAATGGATGGTCAATGCATAAGCTAATGTGTAATGAAATAAATATACTCCATTGGACATATTATGAGAAGTTTATTAAAATGATGTTTCTTATGCCAACTGGTTGAATTAGTGGTAACAACCTTTATATCAGGATGAAATGATGATGAAGGTTGTGATTTTCGGTTATGGTGATCTAATGACACTAGTGAGATTTGGATGTAATGGTGACAGGATCTTGGTATGATGGGGATGATAGTGTCAAGAAATAGGCTTGAATCATTAGCATGATGGAAGTTATGACATTTTGGTTGGAACTAATAAGAAAGTACTATCAACATTTCATAAATCTAATCCAAAGAATAAACTATTAAGAATTGACCCATTTAAATTGTTTCCTTATTATTATTATTATTTTGGATCATTTTAAAACTCCTAAGAAAATGATATTATATAATGTGGTCATGGGGTAAATTGTAAAACCCGAAAACGTCGTTTTAGGCTTCGCACGCTTTTCAAAGCGTCGCGACGAGTTTTAAGTGAAAAATTTCAATGTTGTCGGATTTTGACGGGATTAATTTTAGAAAATTGAGCGTAAAATTTTGATCAATTTGGTATATAGAACCTATATTTAATTATGAGTATTTTAAGAATTATAAATTTTGGAAGATTAGAAATGCCAATTCTACCCCTAGGTGTTTCTTAAGCAAAATCTACTTAAGTGAGGGCATGAGAGTCTTTTGGCATGTCTCATTTCTCCCTATTAGGCAAACCGAAGCCCTCACATTCTCCCCCATTCGGTCTTTTGCCCAAACCGAGCGGAAGAAACCGAGAGGAGGAAGTAGCATGATGTTGACCTTAAAGTCCCCTTTATGGAATGCTTGTGATTAGTGGATTATTTTAGACTTTATGGGGATTGCTATCATATAAACTTCAATTTACACTTGATGTTAGTGAGCAATTTGATGCACATCTACAGATTTTGTCTTTCTTCTTGTCTTTTGATCCACAACCACCTCTAAGGAAGAATATTTTCTTTCTCTAACATGTTTTTTCAGGCGAACTTTTTTTTGTCAGCGATAGAAACAATGGATTTTGGAACATCTATAAATGGGTAAGGCACTTTCCCGTCTTATTAATATTATAATGCTTAATTAAGAATATGGTGTGGAGTATCTTATTTATCTATGCACTTTCTTTTGCTACATAATATAACATAACATCTGTGGCTCATATTTTGCAACAAAAAATCACTGAGATTTACTGAAGTTCCTATTTAGAAGAGTAACGTGATTGCTACGGCTAAAAAATGTTAGTTTGGTAAACAAGAGACAATTAAGTGCCGCCAACAAAATGTAAAAAAGTCTGTCTACTCTGGAATGTGAGGATCACGGTAAGCTTGAATTCTAGAAGAGAGAACGAAGAGGAACAAAAAAAGCCATTTAAAGAAATTTGATATGAGCATGTAAATAGCAGTCAACTGTTTCAACACAAAATGGGCGACTTTTATGCTGTCTGAGATTGAAAAAATAGAGTAGAATATTAAGTCGAAATTTGATGAAGGTAAGCATTGTTTGCTGTAAAGATGAAAGCCAGGAAATTTAGGAGCATTTGGTGTTTAATAGTTGTAATTTTCTATTGTTTTCTGTCAAGGAATGCTGGTGCATTACACACTGTTTCTTTATTTTATCTAGTTTCTCGGGGCTATTTATCAAATTTAGTTGCAAATTGGGAAAGAAGAGGATATTGTTGCAGTTAAGATGCATCTTGCAACTTCATGATTCACAATAGGATTCATATTTTCAAGGTGCTAAAGCCCAAAAACTAATGCAGTGAGGGCCCGGTGATCTTTTCCAAATAAGGTGACAATTTCCAAAAATTATAATTGATGCATGCATTATGAAAAAGTATTTTTACATTGTTTTAACTATTGACATCTATAACATGCTCAACACTTGTTGACTTGTACACTCAAACCACACGAAAGGGGCAAAATCAGCAATTTAAGCGACGCGTGCATCGGCGTTACCTCGAATCTCGTAGAATCTCTTGAAATCCCTGGAAATTCCATTGAAATCCCTGAAATTTTGCTGCTGATGTCTGCTCAAGTCTTCTCCTATAAATCCGGCAAACGACAGTTCACCTCGATTAAATCCTCCGCCTCGTCGTTAAAACGGAACATAATGAGACTTCTTGCCTTTTTTCTGTTATTTTTTTCCTTTCTCCCGTAGCTACCTCATAACCAATCTCCCTTCACTTTCGATCTATTCCAATAGTTGCAAGCCAATCGATCAACAGACTCGATCTCCTCACGATCAAATCCATGCGAATAAGTATAGGTCCTCTCTCTCTCTCTCTCTCTCTCTCTCTCTCTCTCTCTCTGCTTCTCTTTTCACCTGCACCGTTCTCACTCTTGCCCTAACTGAAAATATAAGAGAAAGTCAAGTAAAATAACTCCAAGGGATGCAGTCTTTCAGAAAAAGAGAAAAAAAATCGTCCAGTCTGTCTGGCAGTGCTGCGAAGCGAAGCTAGTTTTGGGGTGTTGCATCGCCCAATCTCTGTTTGACAATGTTGCAGTGCTCAAACACTCAGCACTGTGACGCTAAGTTTCTATCTTGACCCACTACGACACCACATCTTGACCATTGTGGTGCTCTGATCTCTGTCGCTCAGTGCTGGGGTGCTTAGGAATATGGCGCTGGGGGTACGCAACGCGAGGGCGTTGTACAAGAACACCCGAATCCAAGCAGGGGTAAACCCCCCGCACCCCCCAATGTACATGACAAACTTTGATGTCCGTGACTATAGAATAACCATATTGATCAACACAATCAGATTTTACACATAAAAGTTTGAAGGATATTTGAGTAAGCTGTCATTTTTCTTTTTGGCAACTCCCATTTTGTTGTGGTGTAAAAACATAAGATGACAAATGATTGATGCATTAGCCTACAGGAAAAATTGATCTAGGAAGAAATTAAGGCGAGTAGTCGCATTAAAACAAGAAAATATCTGCAACTATACAAATATCTTCAAATTTAAAATTCTCAGCTTTTTGCATGTCTGTGGGATCCTGATTTCTTTTATTGGCATGAATCCCTAGGATCTTGATTTACATTCTTGGCATGAATCCGTGAGATACTAATTTTCCTTCACTTGAATCCGTGGGTTTGAACATATTCCAATTAAAATTTGTGAAGCCTAATTAATCGTTTTTCTAGTGTCTCAAAAGTTGGGGTTTACGTATTGATAATCGGTTGTCAACCCACTTTTACATTTTCTTTTTATCGTGTTTGGTGTATTAAGTAAGCTTCCATAGAAGGTGTGCTGTAAGGTTGAAAAGTTATGCTGACGAAATATCATTCATTACTTAGGGTTCAAATTGGCCTCATTGAACCTGAATACCGACTGTTGGAAGCATTTCTCTGAAGCGATTTCTTAGATTCTAAGCTCTAAATGTCTAATGCAGACATCTGACTCCTTATATGCTTATCTTTCTCTATTTGCTAATACTGAAAACTGGCTGAAGATTATCTCTGAAATAATTCCTTGATTACCCTAAACGCAGAAAGTAGACATGAATGCCTCCTATATATGTTTTCCCCTCTCTTTTTTTTTTCCTTGCGAAACAACAATTCAGTGCAATTAAAATCTAATCAAAATAGGAAATTTAGGCCTCGTATGTTGCCTTTTATTTTTAAAGTATAATCTTAAAATACTTTTGAATAAAACCTACATTCATGATCATCTTAAAAAAAGAAGAAATCGAGTAGGGATGAAATCTTGATGTTGGAACTTTTGGTATGATAGAACCTTCTAACACACCAAAATGAACAATCAACTGATAGAATTAATTATCTGTATCTTCAATCTGCTGATCATTGGTTTTGTTTTCTCCTATCAATAAGTTTATAATTTGACTTGAGGTTTTAAAGTTTGCTACAACAATTTGTAGCAGGAAAATAGCATAATTATTTTACTATTACACAATTCCTTCATGATATTCTTATTCTGAGATTTTGGGTTGAATTTATATCTTTATTCACTTCTGCGCCAGAATGAATACAAAGATGAGGTGATCCCGGTCTATTCACTAGAAGCAGAGTTTACTAGACCATTGTGGGTTTTTGGAATCAGTTCTTATGATTTTCTTGGAGATGAAGAACGTCATAGTATTGTTTGCAGCTACAGGTTCTACAAATTTAACATAGTTCTGAATATAGAAGTTATTTGACATAATTTCTGAATTTTGGTAAATCTAAGCTATAAGCTTACTGTATTTTGCTTTGTTGGCATTTGCAGGCTGAATGGGAGGTCATATTTGGGAATTTTAAATGATGTTGACGGTTCATATTCAGCTCTTGATACTCCTTTTACTGATGTTGGCAATGTTGTAAGCTGTGATCACTCTATGATTGTCCTTTTGTAGCTTTCATTTTGAAATAGTTTTTCTGAATAATGCTTTCAAGCCTTAACTCCGTGAAAATGAATTTGTCAGTTTGCCTTAAGTCTGATTTGTACAGGTTGTTGGATCGAATTGCTTGTTTATTGAAGGAGCATCTGCATCACATGCAGTATCTGTTGTGAAGGTTGAAAATAAATCTCATATCAGGCTTACTTTATGAATGAATGTGGTCATACTTACTGTTTTCAATTTCTTTATAGCACATTTCCATATTTTACAGATCACTCTAGATAGCAACAATAAACAAGTACCATTGTTTTCAGTAATTTGGTCTTCGTCAACAGATGCTGCAAAATACAAATCATATTTCAGTTTGCCAGAGATTGTAAAATTTCCTACAGGGACTGGTGAAGATGCTTATGCATATTTCTACTCCCCATCAAATCCTGATTATCAAGCCCCCGTTGATGAAAAGCCGCCCTTAATTGTCAAAAGCCATGGTATGGAATTTTCTTGTCCTCCAGTTATAGCATGTCTGACCTCCTTTTTTTTTGTTTTTCAAATTTTCATAACATCTATGACAATGGTGTTAGTTTAAAAATTATTATGTTTTAAGTTATTGTATTTTGCATTAAAAGGAAAATTCAAACAAAAAGACAAAAAAAGAAGAAAATATCTAGTGCCGCAATGCTAAACTCTTGAACACCACGACATTCAAGACTAAAATATGACCTCAAGATAGAGCAGAGCGTTGCAATGTGCAGATCTTTGGCATCGCAGTGTCGTCTAAGAACCGCAACGCCAAATTGCCATAACTCTGTAGTGCTGCCAAGGCTGTCGGAGTGCTGTGACGAAGCTGTTAATTTAATTAGTCTCCCGAAATGACACGTCTATCTCGGTTGAGGCCGGAGCGCTATTCTTCATGAGCTTAGCGGCGACAGTTCAATTTATGAGCGTTGCAGAGCTACTACTTTGAGGGTCGTGGCGTTAGTGCTTGTTATTTGTTTTTTATATAAATAGCATGGCCGTATTTTTTGAAGAGGGCTGACCAATCCATCAATTGTGTTTAGTTCTAGGCAGGGTCTAATAGTAAGTGTAAGTGTGTGGAAGGAGAGAAGGATCCAAGGGTAAGAAAATGTCTGGGTTTGCTTTTGGAAAGAAGAATCTGATTATATCCTTTCTTTACTCTTGTACTTTTTTTTGGTATTTGCAATGGAAATTTTCATGATTATGTTGATTGCAGTGATAGGCTAAATTATTCTTTGGTTTTATGATGTAAGAAGAATGTGTGTTAAATAGAATAAGTTTTAGTGCTTAAAATTTTTCACTATTGTTTCTGGTTCCTTCAAACTTCATTTAATTGTGTATAGGCCATGCACAAAATTAAAATATAGTGTGATCTATGTCATTGACGGAGGCGTAGTGGAAATGAAGTCTAAGTCTATGTCTGGTCAACCTCTAGCCCTTTGCTGAGTATGCCATACCTCTTTGTGAGTCTGCATATACTTTGGGATCTAGTTTCCTAGGATAGAAAATCAAGGCAGAGACTTTACACATACTCATAGGCACTCTCTTTATATAGTTAGTTTAGGATGTGTCAATCTCCCCTTCCCTAGGAATGGCGCTCCATGCACTTTCACACTCGAGTAGGTTAATCGACTGGCATTCTTAATCTAGGTAAGATTTAAGTCTAGTCTACTATATTCTCTGCCACATTAAGAAAGTTTGTGCCTTCTTGGTCACACATAACCAAAATGTAAGTCATACTTTTTACATATTATCTTTCATATTGAGAAGATGCCTGAGCTTCCTTGATGCTACACTATCGAGCTGTCACTCCGCATCATTTCCGTCACTCTACATTATTTCCTTTCTCCGCCATCTCCTCTAGTACATTGAGGAAATACTCATGTTTTTTGTCACTCGGATATTTTCTCTTCCACATTGAGAAGATATTTGAGTTTTATTGGTCGCCACCTACTAAGTCCCATTTTTTACATCTCCTCTGCCACATTAAGGAGACATGAAAAACCCGAAAACGACAATCGTAGGTCATCGCATGCTTTTCGCCGCGTCGCGATGAGACTTAAGTGAAAAATTTGAAGTTAATGGAATTTGATGAAAATAATTTTATAAAATTCTACGTAAAATTCTGATCAATTTGATATATAGAACCTATATTTAATTATGTATATTTTGAGAATTATAAAATTTGGAAGCTTAGAAATACCGATTCTACCCCTAAGTGTTTCTCAAGCCAAATTTGTTTAAGTGAGGGTATTTGGGTCATTTGAATTTCTCAATTTCTCTAAATAAGCAAACTAAAACCCTCTCCCTCATTTCCCATTTGCGTACGTCGGCCAAACCGAGCGGAACGGGCGGACGGTGGGCTCAGCGGAGGTGGCTCCGGCGGCGATTTTCCGGCGAGGAAATGATGTAGGCAAAGGGGGGGGGGTCAAATCAAACCCAAAAATATTTGGTTTTGACTTCCCTTGAGCTTACTAGCTCAATAAATTTTGAGCTGGATTTTAGCTCATTTTTTAGCCGGTTTTTAGTTCATTTATTGAACTAAAGGTTAGCTCATTAATTAGCTAGGTTTTAGTTCATTAGTTATCTTAATTATGTAATTTTTATTTATAGTTTTTATCTCTTAAATTTTAGTTTTGTCCCTTGGGATTCCAAAACGGCTTTTGGAATCCCTAGGATGGTTGTTTTCCGTGCTTGGCTTCCACGGGTTGGTTGTTTCCATGCCTTGGCTCCTTGGTTCCCACGGTGGGCTGCTGGGTGGCTTTTCCCGTGCCTGGTGCCTCGGTTCCATGCAGGCCTCTTGGGTTTCCGCGGCTGCCTCTTCGGTTCCATGGCTGGTCTGTTTCCCGTGAAAAACTGGGGGCTTTTCCGTGGTTTGTGTTGCTTGGATTCCTGTGGGAATTCAATTATGTGGCTGTTTGTATTCCCCTTTCATGACTATAAATATGAGAGGTTTTGTAATGTTTTAAAAAGAGTGATATATGAATTTTTGAAAAGAAATCCTTGGGATTTTCTTAAAGGAGCTTGCGAGCTTTGCCCACCTTCTTCCACCTCTTTGAGGAGACTTGCGAGTTCTTCTCCACCTTTCTTTGCGAGTTCTTCTCCACCTTTCTTCTCGGGCTTCTAATCTCTTTCGTCTCTCCGCAAGTTTACACCCCACCTGTATCCTTCTTCTCAAGTAAAGCAAGTTTAGGGTGTCTTTAATTTTATAAGAGTCTTAGTTTGTAAGTGTGTTTTTTTATTTGAAATGTAAGAGTTTGTTCTTCCCTATGATTAGCTAGGGTGTGTTGTCCCCCTTTTTTTTGTGATCAAGAATTTTTCTTGGGGTCCCTCTCCCCATGGAGGATTTTTGCTCGCATCATTTTTGGTATCAAAGCAAGTTAGGAAGTGCTAGGATTTTAATTCGGTTTGTCAAGTCAAGTCTTGTGAGTCTTGTGACTTGTGTGAATCTTTTGAGTATAAGTTTTTTAGGTTGAATCTTTTGAGTCTTGTTTGTTGAGTCTTTCTTTTAAAAATGGAAAAAGACAAAAATATGGCTTCATTCAAGGAGGAAATCAATCCATATAATTCTGATGTCCCTCTTCCGTTGGACAGATGGATTCCTACAGAAGGTGATTCTACAGATCCACTTAAAGACCGATTATACAAGCTTCAATATCACATGTTCTTATGTGATCAGAAATTCGAGAAGTGGAAAACATATCTACAAAGGCAATTCGAAAAAGAGCAAGAAGACATTTTGAAGAAATTTGAAGAAAACATTAAAGAGTTGGATGCTCATTGTCACGACCCGGCCCGGTTAGCTCGCTAGTGCGAGGCGGGAACAGAGATCGGACAATAAAGAAGATAAAAGAAAACTTTACAAGACAAATAAATATAATTCCAAAATATTCATCAACATAAAGAAGAGCCACTACAATACCCAACATAAAGTTTTTCTTTCCTTTCATTTAAAAATCATCAATCAAAGGATTTAGCATTAAGTTTACAAAAAGATACAAAAGGGGATCCACAAGTATAACCTTTTCCTCTTACAATCCAATTTTAATCTATCTATACAAAACATCAAAATACAAAAGAACCTGCCGCCCGTCGTCTCCCTACGACGGTAAGTGCGCGGAGGTTGGTCAGCCATCTAACCCTTCCTAGTTCCTCCTGAAAAGTATTCCCATAACGAGGGTGAGTCTTAAACTCAATAGGCAAATGCTTTACCAAATAAAATTTAGAGAAAACAATATGAATGAGATGAACATAAATGAAAATACTATAGGTAAAAAGAACATTGAACCAATCATAATTTAAATAGTATGCCTCAATGTGACCCATTAAACATTTTCCTTAAATGAGCTTATGATCCATCACTTATCATAACGCATGAAATGCTTTTCTTGAACCATGAAGTTTTGCATAGGCATAATGTAACATATATCTATAATCACCCGTCTCAGAGGTATCCTTTTTGTACTGATCAGGTACAACATAATTGGCCATTCCTTTTCCATTTGGTTCATAAGAACCACCTTTACCAATGCTCATAGGAGCATCCCTTTACCAATGCTCGGAAGAGCATCCCTTTACCAAAGATACCTCCGCATCAACAAGCACATACATTCATTCTTTAATTACTCATAAGGAGATTCTTATTCATGCATATGGTCAACTATCTCCTAATGTGCTATATGGTTTCATGATAGCAAGAGGAAAGAAAAGAGTCAAATGCAACCATGATTCATCACTTTAGAAAGAACGAATGCATTAAATACTATTACATAAAAGATGAACTTGCAATGTGAGTTAGCGCATAAGTAAAGGCTTATGTATGGTAACCCCTCACTTAAGTAAATTTTGCTTAAGAAACACTTAGGGGTAGAATTGGCATTTCTAACCTTCCAAAATTCATAATCTTCAAAATACTCATAATTAAATATAGGTTCTATATATGAAAACGATCAGAATTTTATGCTCTATTTTCTAAAATTATTCCCGTCGAAATCTGACAACTTCGAAATTTTCACTTAAACCTCGTCGCGGCGCTTTGAAAAGCGTGCGAGGTGTTAGACGGCATTTTCGGGTTTTACACTCATTCTTCATCGCCTCAGAAGAAAACAAAAGCTAACTCATCGGGAGATGAGTTCTCAACAAGGGGAGTCTGATGTAGGCAAGGGGGGGGGGGGCAAATCAAACCCAAAAATATTTGATTTTGACTTCCCTTGAGCTTACTAGCTCAATAAATTTTGAGCTGGAATTTAGCTCATTTATGAGCTGATTTTTAGTTCATTTATTAAACTAAAGGTTAGCTCATTAATTAGCTAGGTTTTAGTTCATTAGTTATCTTAATTATGTAATTTTTATTTATAGTTTTTATCTTTTAAATTTTAGTTTTGTCCGTTGGGATTCCAAAACGGCTTTTGGAATCCCTAGGATGGTTGTTTTCCGTGCTTGGCTTCCACGGGTTGGCTGTTTCCGTGCCTTGGCTCCTTGGTTCCCACGGTGGGCTGCTGGTCTTCCGTGCTGGGTGGGTTTTCCCGTGCCTGGCGCCTTGGTTCCGTGCGGGCCTCTTGGGTTTCCACGGCTGCCTCTTCGGTTCCATGGCTGGGCTGTTTCCCGTGAAAAGCTAGGGGCTTTTCCGTGGTTTGTGTTGCTTGGATTCCTGTGGGAATTCAATTATGTGGCTGTTTGTATTCCCCTTTCATACCTATAAATATGAGGGGTTTTGTAATGTTTTAAAAAGAGTGATATATGAATTTTTGAAAAGAAATCCTTGGGATTTTCTTGGAGGAGCTTGCGAGTTTTGTCCACCTTCTTCTTCCACCTCTTTGAGGAGACTTGCGAGTTCTTCTCCACCTTTCTTCTCGGGCTTCTAATCTCTTTCATCTCTCCGCAAGTTTACACCCCACCTGTATCATTCTTCTCAAGTAAAGCAAGTTTAGGGTGTCTTTAATTGTATAAGAGTCTTAGTTTGTATGTGTGTTTTTTTATTTGAAATGTAAGAGTTTGTTCTTCCCTATAATTAGCTAGGGTGTGTTGTCCCCCTTTTTTTGTGATCAAGAATTTTTCTTGGGGTCCCTCTCCCTAAGGAGGATTTTTGCTCGCATTAGGAAATTAGTGGAGATCGAAGATGACGACGAGGGCAGTCTTAAGGTATGATTTTTGTGAAGCGAATCCCTCTCAATCTCAAGAAATGGAGATGAAATTTCTAGGGTTTTTTCAAAAACGTTTTTTCTTTCAAATTTTCTTTACGAAACCTTTAAGGAAGGATTAGGGAAATAATTTAATGATGGAAATGAAGTTTTTTGGAGAAATTTTTGGAAATCAAAAAGTTAAGATTTTTACCTAAAATTTAATTTCTATAAAGTGCTTTTTCAAAAGTTGTTTCTAAGGGCCTTAGGAATGTTTTTAAATAAAAAATTTAAGTTTTTGTAATAAATTTCATTTTTCGTAATTTCTTAATTAATTAAATCCGAAAATTAATAAGATAATTATTAAAATATGTTTAAGAATAATTTTGATATAAAGATTTGAGCGAAATTGAAGATTTAGAGTTTTCTAAATTTTGGATTTTAAATAATTTCGAAAATAGAAAAATTATTGTTTTAATTATTGAAAATATTTGTGATGTGTGCTTAGTTCAGTTGTAATTATCCTTAGGTGTGAATTAAGGAGACGACACGTGGTTAACCAACATTGTGCAGTGTTGCGGTTGTTGTTCGATACTTGCAAGGTAGGTGATTACATTTAAATTAAATTTATGAAATTTAATTAAGTCTTATTGCACTTTCAAAAAGTTTCAAGTTAATGTTTATAATTTCTTATTTATTGCTTTAGCTTTACATTTATTGTTTATACATATGATATGTTACTTATAATGTTAAAGCAAATTAAACAACTTCATGCATAAGAGATATAGAATTTTCTTACCCGAAAAACACTGAAGAACGTATGATGTAATAAAAAATTTTTAGACTCCTTGAGGAATATAAATATTATAAAATGCATGTGCATGATGATCCAGAAGTGCCAAAATGGTAATGGGGTTCTACGGAGCCAAATGGTAAATGGGCTTGCAAAAGACAAATGATAATAGGGTTCTTCAGAGCCAAATGGTAATGGAATGGCCAATGACTGTGTACATGATCAGTACAAAACTCTGATACTTCTGGGACGGGTGTTTATTATATTATAATTATGAAATTTATGCATTCTTATGAAAGGATTCAAGAAAAGGAAAGTTTATGAAAAAGAAAGAAATAAGGATTTATGGAAATGTTTTATGAAATCATACTATAAATATTTATTATGATCCTTTATTGTTTCATTTTGATGCTTAATGACATATTTAAAAAAGAAAAGAAAAATATTTCATGAATTTAAGATAAATGTTTATCACATGCTGAGCGTTGGCTTGTCATATTATTGGAAATATTTTTCAGGAGATATTGTTAAGAAGTGATGGCTACGAGACGACAGTACACCTATCGTCGTAGATGACCTCAGGAAGAAAGGTTTTTATGTTTACTATTTTGAGTTTGAGTTAATGGTTTGTATCCGAACAGTTTATTGGAGTTTATGTAAGTGTTGATGTTTATGTTGTTAGTTTTGTGTGAGAAGAAACAAATTTGGTTGAACTTTCATTCGATGTTTTAGTTGGCTCTTTCTTATTATGTGATTGATGATGTTGATGTTTTATCATAAAAGTTTAAGTGGAATTGTTATGTTTTATGTTACGGTATTTTCCGTACGACTGTCTGCTCCCGCCTTGTTAATTCGGGCTAGCCGAGTAGGCTCTTGACAACATATGGGCTTATTCAATCTCACGATTGAGCTATAAGTCCTACTCGGATGTATTCTTTAGCACATTAAAGAGATACTCAGGATTCCACTCTTCTGATGTCTTTTATATCATATTAAGAAGACATCTTGGCTTTCTTGTCTAAATATTTGATCTTTTGGGGAATTTTAAGGGAGATGTGATCAACTTTAAATTAAATTTTAGAAATGAGAGTCAAAGAGAGGAAAATAAAGCACTTGATTCTGAGAAATTCAGATGTGCTCCAACTATCCTATGTTTGATTTTACAGTTTATAATTAGATTTTTGTTTGAGTTGACCAATAAAATTTTAAAAGTTGGGACTTATATTCCAACAATACGGGCTAGAGGCCCGAAAGATGATGACCTATGAAATGATTGAAGTTAACATCAGACTTAAATCCTAGATTTAAAGTAAGGACTACTGAGGGGTTGTGCCTTAAACCTAAGTTTTGTGTAGTGCAAGGGACTTACAGGCCTACAACTCACTTGAGGCATAAGTTATCCTGACTTCTAGATTTACAACCCAACATTGAAGAGCTACTAGCTAACCTACCCAAACCTTTTAAAATCATGAGGTCTGGTTTCAATGCATTTGAAGATTATGGAGGTTTTTTTGATTTAAAATATAGGACTTATAATTTGGCTTTTATGCCAAGTTGCCTTACTATATAGATATGCATATGCTGACTCATTAAATGTAGATTTTTGTTATCTGGCCTTTAAGTGAGAGCTTTCTATATGAGACACACTGGCCATGAATATTCATTTTTGTCATGACTTGGCCCAAAGGCTCAAATTAATGAGGCGGGAATAGATGGTCGGACGGTTGATTAAATTTTCAATTTCTAAAACTTTCACCAATAGCTGAAAGAGCAACTAAAACATTTAAATAAAAAAATAATAATTATCTTTCTCTTGGAGCATCGCCCCTATGATATATATTTTCTAATCTTCTACTCATTTTAAACTTTTGACATATAAGACTTAGTCATAAAGAACTCAGTGAGCACGTCATATTTTTAAATTACAGTAATACAAGACATTAAAAATATTATGTATGCTCAATTTAATGATAAAATAATTCTATTAAAATGTTGACTGAAATAAAATTAATAAAACAAAGAAGAAGAAAACAAATAACGGAATAAATTTTTTGAAGAGAAACATCTCTTTATGAAGTAAGTAACGCATCTTTTGGATCCGGCCCCACTTCAAACTGTTGATGACCAAAAACATAGCTTTTCACTTAGATAACTGCCATACATCAATTTAATCAATAGAAAAGATAGAAATTGAGAAAAAAAAAACTCACGTTCGTTGGTCTTCCTCACTAGTTCTAATTAATTAATTTTGATTAATTAATTTAATTAACCAACTAATATTAATTAATTAATTAACTTTAATAAATTTCAATTAACCAATTAATTTTAACTAATTGATTACTTTTACCTAATCAGTTGATTTTATTAATTAATTTTAATTAATCAATCAAAATTAATTAACTAATTTCAAATAATTAATTAATTTCAAATAATGAATTAATTTCAATTAACCGATCAAGCAACAGCAAATGAGCAAATCTAAGAAAAGCATATATTTCTAATGCACACTAAGAAAACAAACAAATATGCGTGTTTATATAAAATCAACCAAAGTAGGAAAGTAAAATGTAATGTCCCAACTATTACAATTTAAGGAATGCTGCTAAAATAAAGTTGAGTTGCTTGCCTTATATAACTCAGTAACAATTACAGACTCGACCTGTGTGGTCTTTAAGCTTTGACTTCTAGATGCATCCAGAGCTTCACCTAGGTGTTCATCCTTCTGGTTCATCTCTCCTATAATTATTTCTCATAGGTCCAAAGAAAACTTCCTAACTCTTTGAAAATGTAAAAGACTCAAACCTGCAAAAAGTCTTAATCCTAAAATGCCTAGGAGTTGTGCAAATAAGTGTGTGCCGTTTATGTGGTATGTTACACTACAAGTGGTGTCTTGTTTTATTATGAAAGGAAGATGAATGAGCATTATTTTCTTGTTAATATCTAGTTGTAATTTGATGAAGGCTTGTGCATTGTATGTCATAATCAGGAATTCCATTGATCTGTTCACTCTTAAAATCTTTCTATTACCTATTTCATCCTGTGAATCTTGATGTGAATCTTGACATTGAGCTCTTGCATGTGTATTTTATAATTAGCCACATATGATTTATTTTTTATTTTTCATTTTCCAGGAGGGCCAACATCTGAGACGCGTGGAATATTGGATTTGAATATACAATATTGGACTAGTCGAGGTTGGGCATTTGTTGATGTCAACTATGGAGGAAGCACTGGTTAGCCTTTGAAATTTTCATGACTAGTGGATTAAATTGCTGTTTGAATGTTGGTTGATGAGTCATACAAAACTCTTTAACTAGTTTTATCCAATGCTTGGTCTTTTCTTCTTAAGCTGGTGCTTGACCAGATCAAAATCTTCAGTATAGAACCTCTGATTTTGGCTTGTTTCTTGTTTCAACGCATAAAAAAATATGAAAATTTAAGTATGCTGTTGGCCAGGTTATGGTAGAGAGTACAGAGAGCGGTTGTTAGGACAATGGGGTGTTGTAGATGTAAATGACTGCTGCCAATGTGCCAGATTTCTGGTAGGTATTTTTGTATTATTGGGTGCATGGTTCTTTTCCTTATCTTCAATGGATTACTGAACTGATTTATTATTATTTTTTTATAAGCGGTGATTAAATTACAACAAATTTCATCGGCTTATCTAGGTTGAAGAAGGAAAGGTGGATAAGAAACGACTCTGTATAACTGGGAGATCAGCTGGTGGGTACACCACACTAGCTTGCCTTGCTTTCACTGAAACTTTCAAGGCTGGTGCTTCATTGTATGGTGTAAGTATATACGATAGCAGTCAGATGTTTTTTGTTTTTAATCTTTTTAATGATCTCACTTGCTTTGATACTTTTCACGGTTGCACAACTACCTTTTACTAATTTGAAATGTTTTAAAAATTGTGATTGACAAGCATATGAATTATATCAGTTAAAATGGTTGATCAGTGTCTTCAATAATTCCGACTAATCATAGTTAGGCTTTTTGATAATAACATGCTATTGATGAATTTGTTGATCTCCATAGTCAAGTAGATCAAATGCGAGGACAAAAGTGAAAGATAGTTTCGTGAGAAATGGAATTAGACGGTCCTAAACATGTCACTTGTTTTTTAAGAAAAACTATTTTAGTTCATTCAAAATGTTGAAACGTTTTGAGTAGATCCTCTTGCACTACTCGGGCAATGATTAAAAAAAAAATGATTAGCACCTGGTAGGAGAATTCGTAGGATATTTTGCACACTCAGATCTTAAAGTAATTGCAAAATGAGAGTGAAATCTCTAGATAGCGTCTTATTTTTAAAATTAATCTACCTTTTGAAAATTTGACTCGGAGCATTTATTGAAGTTCTCTCGAAATGTGAAGCAGCTGGGGCATGAATTTTCGAAGCCCAGACTTGCGTACAAAAAATAGAAAATGTTGGAAATGAAAATGAAAATGATTATACCATACTAGGTGCAGTGTTAGATGGTGCTCTTGAAATAAATGACATACTAAAATTATAAATTAACAACTACATCATTAAAGAATGTTTTATTTAAAATGATGTTTATCTTTACAGTACTCATGTTTAAATTTCTCTTGAATGAGTGATTTCATTATATTTTATAGGCATATTGTTTTATTTATTGCTATATTATATAACTATAATTAATCGATGAGTTTGATGATGAAAACTCAACCCTGTTAAATTGAATGTTTTAGGTAAAGCTCCTATTAAGTAAATAGGAGATAGAGAAAGTCTTGTATGCTGACGAAAATGATCAAATAAAAATAAGTATGAATTGCATTATATATGTTCAAAGTTGTAACAGATAATTAGTAACTCTTTCCTAAGTTTTTGGATGTTATTTCATTTGACTGTTTTAGTTGTTGTTGAAAGAATTAAATTATTGTCTGATTATTATTATCAATTTGGTATTCATAGTATTTTGGCCAGGTCGTGACATAGACCCTCACTTAACATGCAAGATAGTGAACTTGGCCTTCCAAGGCTTCTGCATACTGATAAGCCTAATAGATACTATTAAAAGAAGACTTTGAAGTAGTTCAAGACAAGGTTTAAAAAGGTGAAGTCAGGAATCGAGGTGTTTTGGCTTTAGCAAGGTGAGATTTAAGCCTCGAGGCGGATCAAGGCGCAAGACTCAAAATAGAAAAATAAAAAACACTTGAACTTACAATAATCCACAAAAATAAAACATCAATATATTTTTTTGATTCATCAGCATAAAAATATAAACTACAAATCTCAATATTAAATACTGTTATAAAATGAAAGTTTGAAATGAGATTCAAAGTAAACACATCATTTAAAATTTAATTACACCATAAAGATCAAGATCAACGGCGGTCTCATCATTACTTTCATATTCTTTATAATTGCCCTCATATATAATAATTATATCTTCCTTGAATTTTGTTTCATTGTTAGCTTCTAAACCTTTTTTCAATTATAGCATTATTATAAATTTTACCAGCATCCAAAAGGAGGTGCTACCTCAAAACGTCTCAAGGCTTACGCTTCATTTAAAAAAGGCATAAGCTTCACTAGCGCTAGTGAGGCTTAAGCCTTGAGGCGCTCATTGAGCGCCTCAGTTTGAGGTGCTCCTCGAGGTGTGCGCCTCAAATGATTTTTCAAACCATGGTTCAAGAAGTTTATGATTGGATCAAAAATACTTTCTTAATAAAGTTTCAACTCTATGTGTGAGATTCTTACCTTAATCACGGGCATCATTATCACTAATTGTAGTTGAAGGGGATTCTCATCATAAAAATGCCATCTGAATTCTAAAGAAAAATGAATTTCAGGCTTCATTCAAATAAGGGGTGTAATTAAAGTAAAACCATGATTATACTGAACTTTATTTAGATTTCAGCCCCTTTAAATTATAAAAGAAAATAAAATTCTTAGCTTAAGCAATAATTGACTGTGTTGTACTCTAAGCATCCATCCATTAATCCTCCACACTAATTTGTCAAAGATGGCAAATCTATGTTTGACCAAAGTTCCCATAGAGATATTATCACATCAAAAAATCTTACGTTAATATGGATGTGACACATGCCCCTAACTGGTTTGCTATCTTGATTGTGATGGCTCCATTATATTAAGAGTTATCACCTAAGCTTGGATGCGTCCTATTAATTTTGTGATCTGTGAATCATATGGCACACTCAATAGGGCATGAAACCATTAGTTAGCCATGGTTGGCTTAAAATTGAACTCGTTTAATATTTTCACTCTAAGTCTACAAGGTTTTTGTTGGACGATGCAACTGTCCTTGCTTAAAAGGATCATATTGTCAGACTGGTTAATTATCTTTGCTCGTCAATGCACATGATGGTCTTTGGCATTTCAGAATAATGTCATAATGGAATTTTTATTGGGCTCACCATCATTTCACAATTATCCTATTTGAGCCAATTACTATATATCCTTCTTTTATATATCATAAATTGTCACTGTTAAAGCAACATATTATATAGCCTGTAATGAAAATTTTTCTCTTATGATTGTGGTGTAATTAATTGTAGGGGTTTGAGCCTATAAAAAACTTTGAACCAAAATTTTGCAAGTGAATGTTTTTAGATTAGTTTTTAGGAGAAGCTGGCCACTAAGCCAAGTCACCACTTGCAATTTACTCCAAATACAATCACCAAATTTTTTAACCACTTCATTCCATAGCAAATAAAATTATTTATAATTGTTTCAAATTACTAAGAGAGGGAATTATGGTGGTGGACCGCGCATATAATAACCACAGCATGAAATAACTTATTTTAATCTTCATGTTTGGCCCTCCTTTTGAAAATATTATAATTAATTAAATAATTAGTTATAATATCTTATTTTTAACTTATTAATATCCTCATATTATTTAAAATTTAACTTTTAAGAGTCTTGAAATCTAAATTATATACAATCATGCATATAATATATAAAGTTTTGAAACATTTATAATATCCGTATAATAATAAAATAAAACAACTAAATAAGAAATTTTCTAGGTAAGGGTCTTCAATTGGCCCTTGTTGATGGGTTTTGTATGCTCAGCTATAATTTTTAATGATTGAGCCCTAGTAGTCGGATTCTTTGTGTTGCCCTATGCTCCTGGTGCTACACCACATTCATTTCATTATTATTGTGTTAAATACAAAGAGGACGAGTTTCTGGTGACACTTGAAAGTTTTATTTCTCACTATCCTTGGTTAGATTTTTAAAATTCTTTTCGTTGAGCACCTTAAAATATGACATTTGTAAGTTTTTTTTGTTTTTCTCTTCCACCAAGCTACCCGCATTGAAATGACATGTTAAGTGTGGATCTCAAAGAAAGTGGTCCTATTAATTAACCATTATGGTGGTTGACGATCAAAGAATCCTATTCTCTAAAGGTAGGAGTGACCCCTTGTAGGGGATCCCATCATGAGCCATTGTCCAAGCTGTCTTTCACCTCTAGAGGGATGATGGCGAAGCTATTTCCTACGAAGAACAAATTCTTAAAGAGACTAATGAGGAGGATCATTACCTAATAGTAGGGACCAACTTTTATAAGCTAATCGGTGAAGAACATTGATTTGTGACATCCATGTACTGCTCTTGAAGATTATTAGATTCTGCTGATTAGAAAATTTAAACCGCATGTAAAAGTTTGTTTGATAAGCAAACAATCCAACCTTTTTCTGTCTATGTTCTGCTGGTCAATACCTAAGAGGATCATTCCAAGAAAAAAAAAGTGTATAAAATATAAAGAAGACCAGTGATTGACCTCTCTGGGGGATCCCAACACGTGCTGACTTCAAAAATTGAAAGAGAAGAAGAGCTTTGCTAGTTTAGCTTAACGAACATTCTCATGTCACATCAATTGTCACCAAGGACCTGCTGGGGGCAACGACTTGAGATCAAAATTCATGATCAGGAAGATGTGGAAGACATCAACTTTAAGGAGATAGTAATCACCTTCATTTTCAGGAATATCCTAAACCACTAACTCTCAAAACTTACAAATGGCTTGTGAAGTGGCCACATCGCTTGCCCTGAAACGAGCTTGTGACTATAGAAAATTTCAACTCCATGCATAGCTAAAATCGGAGCACCAAGGTGAAAACAGGTTATATAATCTTCCCTTTGAAAATGACCATGTTAGCTTTAAATACAAGAGTTTGACCTACTTTTCAGAGCACCTTACAGTGAAGTATGCAAAAGCTCACTCAGATAACTATTTGACATGATATTGTTGCTACCTATTGTTTGCAAAGCAGCGCCTCTTTATTTGAGCAAGAAGTTTGAAAATGAGCCTTACATCTGAAAGTTTCTCAAAGTTTCAGTTTAAAATACCTTGCGATGATACCTTCGTTCCTTGTTGGTACATGTCTCTAAAAATGGGTTACCAAGTGGTGGAGGCTCACGCCATGTCGGGCTTTATCACTGCTTACGGTTTACCTAATTCTTGTATTCTTCTGGTTTTTCTGTTGTTCACAATGTTTGAATATCACAGATCTTCCCAACTTTCAAAATCTTTAAAATCCCAGCTTTGTAATCATAATACCTGAGTTCGTACCCCATTTTCTTGTGAATTAGTAATCAATTTTGGTAGCCTGAAAGAATATTTTTGTTATTTATTTCCTTACTCTTACCTTCTTTAGTAAAATGATTCTTTTAGTGACTTAATAACTCCTCTCTTTTGGGGTATGTACAGGTGGCTGACTTGTCATTGCTGAGAGAAGAGACTCATAAATTTGAGTCCCACTATATTGACAGACTTGTTGGTAAGGATTAATCTTTGACAGTTTACCATAATACTACTGACGTCTGAACGACTAGCTTTATTTATTTGTATTTGATGTTTCAGGGGATGAAAAAGCTTATTTTGAGAGGTCCCCTATAAACTTTGTTGACAAATTTACTTGCCCAGTGATCTTGTTCCAAGGATTAGATGACAAGGTACACAGGCACCGAATTTCAAGATTTACAAAGAATTAGAGGTTTTTGTTTCCCTTTTGTCAATTATTGGTTACATGCGAAATTAAAGTAATAAACTTTTCATGCAGTTTTTTCGGCTCTTTAAAATTTCTTGCATTTTAAATTTATGTTGTAGTCCACAAATCTTAAATGTAGTTTGTATTCAATATCCTCCATTTCAAATCTTCTACTGCAAGTACCTAGTCGGTCACCAAAAATCTTTTCTATACTACTCTTTTAGGTTTGGTAGATCAGACCCGACAAAGCCGGAACTGAAAATTCCTTTATAAATCAATTTCGTTTTAATGCCTATTAGGTAGGTCTGTATTGTTTAATTCATCGGTTGATTGTGACTTCCGAATCGATCTTTTTTGTTTTACTTCATGGCTAAAAAATGAAATCACATGATAAAAAGTTTAATTCACCTTTTTAGTTGGTTTGATTGGAAAGTTCTTGAAACGAATAGAAAAATTGACGCAGAACTTTCTTAAAGATAAGAAGTCATAACTGTAACTAACAGAACTAGCTCGAGCTAGGGTGGTATGTTCCCTGGTTCTTAGGGTTGTTGTCCCAAGTTCTAATTTGGTCTGTCTACTCCGATTAAGTTGGTCCTTGCCTGTTGTTTATGAACCTTGTGCCCTACTTTTAATTAATAAAATTTTCTAGGATATATATCTATTCTTTGAGGAAAAAAATTAATAGCGAATAGAATGCATAAGGATGGACTACACTTAATAGTGGAAAGAGTTATTTTTTCATACATTTTTTTTTTGTTTTATTTTTCAAAAATGTAGTATTTAATTGACAAATCAAGACAATTCACCATAAACATAGGCATAAAATATAGTAAGGCGTCAAAATTCTTAAAATCTTAAGATTATTTGATCATTTATCAAGCATATAATTAGAATACTAACAAATAATCTAGATTATGATTCATTAGTTTAATTATAGTGTAGAAGTACTTAAAATGAAAAATTTTGAGCATATATAAAATGACATCTAGGATAATTTTTATTAGTTGAAAGTAATGTTTAAAATTGTGCAATTGGGTATTGAGGCGTTTTTTGTTCATGAGACGAGGCGTAAGCCTCAAGGCGTTTTGAGGCGTAAGCCTCAAAATCAAAAAATTGTGTGAAGTGATAATAAATGTCAAAAGTGATTTTTATATAATATTTAAATAATATGTTAAATGATGACATATTAACTTTATATTGAATTATGAATTAACAAATTGACATACACATGAAATAAAAAATTGCACAAAATCTAAAGTGACAAGTAATAAATTGCATGAAATAGAATTAAAATACAAATATTATAAAAGAAAATAATATTAAATATAGAAATTGCATAAAAGTATCATATAACATCAAGTTCAACTCCAAATTTTTTTAATCAATTCTCTAATAATTTTCATTTAATTCTTAATAAAAGTTGAAATAGTTGGCAACAACTTAGGAATTATCTGCACTGCCATCACTGAGGTGGTCTTTATTTGAGTTTTTGCATAATAAATTGGTTTATTCCCTGCCTCATTTAGTAAAGTTGAACGCCTTCCAATATGCTTCTTTTTATTAAATTTAATCATATTCATCTTTTAGAAATATTTTCATCAAAATAAATCTGAGATTAATGCTCCAAAATTTTTAGGGTGGTTGTGTGCAGCTTTCAAGTGTTTTTTGGTGACGACTATGACGGTGTTGGTTACGGCGAAGGCCGTGGGATGGAGGTAGAGGCAATCGAGATGAAGTTGTTGCGTTTGAATGTGCATTGAGATGTAATTTATGTTAGTTTTAACAAAAAAATTATATAAATAGGGTGAGGCGTAAGCCTCATGCTAGCAAGGCGAGGCATGCCTCAAGGCGGGCCTCAGCCAAGTTGAGGCGCAAGCCTCATAAAAAAGCTATAGGCGTTAGCCTCAAGGCGTTTTTTATTAGAATTGCGTTGAGGCGGGCCTCATATTGCGCAATTTTAAACAATGGTTGAAAGACAGAATTGTAAATGATCACATATTCATTAAGTTGTCCTTCTAATACAAGCATATATATGCCTAGATATAAACAAGAGAAGAGACTGAAGAGCCCAATAAAGAAAAATACAATAAAAGGGAACATCCTCTATATTGAGAAAATATTATAGCAAAAAATAACATAGATTCCTAATTTAAATAGTTAGAGCATAGATTAAGTTAAATATGGTAATACCACCCTCAAACTCAACGTGGCATATAAAATATCAGATATCATCTTCACTTTATAAATAATAGTGACCAAAGATGTAGTCTGAAGGTTTTGTTGCTCAATAATTGTAATGGTCGCAATATGAGAATGATTGATCCATAAAAGTAGGGCTGCAAACGAACCCAGCCGAGCCGAGTATGTGAGTGTTCATGTTTGTGTTCATTTAATATCAGCTTGTTCAAGTTTGGTTCATGTTTGTTCGAGCTTTAGCGTTTGTGTTCATGTTTGGTTCATTTAAATTAAGGATTGTTCATGTTCGGTTCATGTTCAGTTCATGTTCGTTCGTTTAGTGTTTATCGAGCTTGTTTGCGAACATATTTAACGAAGTTTTTTAACTATAAAAAAACACGTTCATGAACATATCTATGAACAAACGCATTTATAATAAAAGCAATTGTCTATGTAACAAAGGTAATGATTATTTATATTTATTAATTATATAGTCAAATATTAATTATTTTTATCGAGCTTATTCACGAGTTCAAAATCGAACATGAATCGAGCTTCTTATCGAGCTTAATGTTGAGCTTGTTCACGAACTTGAAATGATGTTGTTCGCGAACATAAATGAGCCGAACACATTAGTGTTCAAGTTTGTTTATTTAGTTAATTAAACGATCGCAAATGAGCTTTCATCGAACCGAACAACGAGTAGCTCGTCGAACGTTTGGTTCGCTTGCAGCCCTACATAAAAGAGAGTAGTTCAAAAGAACACAAAATGTCAGCAACAAGATATGTCATATAGTTACATATATGGTCTTTAAGGTATCGATGCAGGGTGTTAATAGAGGTATCAATAAAGCAGGGGCGGAGCCATAATTTTTTTCATGTGGGGGCACAAATTATTGAATTTAAAAAAATACAATTTTTCATGTGATGGAGCCAAGATTACTTTAATGTGAGGACTCCAAATTATTGAAGTAATGGTACTAATCTAACAATATAATTTTCAAATATTAATAGAAAATAGATATAATTTAATCTAAATCTTAAAATAATGCAAAAAATATATTAACAAGCAACTTTTAATACAAAATTAAAAAGCTAAAAACTCATGTTTTCTAAGCACCGTTAGAAAAACGGTTAAAAATTAAATAAAGATCAACTATGGAAAACATTCACCATTTACAAGATTTAAAAAAACTACCGTAAGAGCTTTCATAAAATAATCAAAGTGAAGAATTCCTAACCAACGAAAGCCTCGGTAGGTCGCAAATAAGCAAGTAAAGATAGGGAAAAATAAAATCATTAAGCATAAATTGTTTTAACTTAAGAGAAAGGCATTCTCACCTCAGAAATTTGCCTTGGGGAAGAAGATGAACAAGTTAAACTCCTCATCATCGGCATTGTAGCCAAAGGCCAAAGCTTGTGTCGGTCTCGAAGTAGATGCTGCAATAAATGAGGAAATTTAAACCTAGGGTTCTCCTCTCAAAGGAGAAGAAAGAGTGGAGAGAACATGAGATACAATAAAAAAAGTCAAGAAACTGACGGAATTTTTGGCTTCCAATAGTGCGGAGATGGCAAGCAAAGGAAAACAAGAAATCCCTAGAGGTAGAGGCGAATCGCTTAGCAAAACGAATTAACGAAAATAAATATAAATATTACATTAGCATTTTTTTTTCTTTTCCGCAGCCCCCATTCGACCACGCTTTGTTGTTCGCTTGTTCTATATGAGCCGCTTGACGAGCTATCTTCCTGAAATAAGTGAGGCTGCGGGGGACTCTTCATGACTGCCATAAGAAAAAACTGATAGCAGATCGGCGGAAGGAAGTGCAGGTTTGAAAACTGGAATGAAACGCGGAACAACTGAAGTAAAAAATAAATAAACTAGGCGGTAAGCACGAAGCGCGGTTTGATTCGGTAATTAAGGATTACCATAATTACTTTTTTTTTTTTTTTGGCAAATCATAACTAACCTCAACTAAGCATTAGTGAAGCAGTCACTGGGGGCCCATGCCCCCAGGGCCCCCATACTAGATCCGCCCTTGCAATGAAGAGTGTTTATGGAGAGTATTCATAGAGAGCATCAATAAAGTTGTTGATGTGGAAAGGACAAAATATACCAACCTAGTCGTTGATGATGAATGACGGTAAATCATAAAGGTGTATCAATCTTCAAGTAATAGGGAGCTAATGGAGATGTCGGTGGAGAGCATATGGGTAGAGCGTGAGGCCAACGGAGTTTAAAAGTTTGAGGAGTGAAGCATCAGTTGAAAGGTCTTTAGTAAAGATCATGAGGATTTCATAACATCTCTCTCTTTCCATATTAGAAAGGAGACTATTATAAATGACTAAATTTTTATTGGATCATCCTTCTAATACAAGCATTAGTGTATATATTACCAAGACAAAAAAAAAAAAAAAAAGGAAAATACAATAATAGAGAATACCTTCAATAACAAGAAAATATTGCAATTTATACTCTAAATAGTTAGCATATGTGTAACTTAGATATGCTAATATTTTCAATCGATTTTATTTCAAAAAAATATATATAAAAGTAGTACTATTTTTGGTGTTTGCCATTAAAAGCTGTCTATTTCTTCATTTAGTTTGATAAAGGGTCAAGTGCTTATAAAAATTTATCAAGTTAGATCACCAAGTTGTTTTAGGTTTTAGATAAACATGAAATATGTGATAAAAATAATTTATTGATCAATATAATACCGGGTCTGACATATGTTTGTCTTGAAATATGCATAGAGGGAAAGTACTATCCTCGGCACTTTAAAGAGCCTTTTAAGATTACTTTTATTTTCTAAGTTTATTTTATTTTGTTTATTCTGTTATTTGATACAAAAACTTCTTTAATTTCTATTATGCTCTTGCTTTCAAAACATTAAAAAAAAATATATCCATGATATAACCAAACACAGTTCAACGCAATTAATTTAAAATTCCTATTCCGTCCCTGTTCTGCTTTTGTGGAGTACGTGAACAATATGGTGCAGTTTTTGAAATTAGAATGTCCTGAAATTGCTTCAATCTCATTTTCATTTTTTTATTTTCTGATGGAGACTTACTAATTAACTTCTTAATGAAGATTGTTCTGCCAGATCAAGCCCAAAAGATTTACAAAGCCTTGAAGGAAAAGGGTTTACCTGTTGCTTTAGTGGAGTATGAAGGAGAACAGCATGGATTTCGCAAGGTTCGTTCTTGAATTTTACTCGTTGGTTCCTAGTTATGACACATTAGTTTCTAACGAAAATTTTCATTTCTAGGCTGAAAACATCAAGTTCACTTTGGAGCAGCAAATGCTGTTTTTTGCTCGAACTGTAGGCCACTTCAAAGTAGCTGATCCAATTGTTCCGATCAAAATCGACAACTTTGATTGAGCTTTTCGTTGATATTTCCAGGTTTTTCTGTTGCAAGGTTTTCAACCTTTTTGGTAATTCTGGTGTTTTACAATTTCTATTTGTCTTATATTTGGTTTAAATACCAATCAATGTTGGCTTGTAATTACTTGTGGAAAATTCTGTGTAGTTTCATTCTCATAAACTTAATCGGCGGCTTGGATTTACCAACACAGCTACTGAGGTTGCGCCTTATTGAAGAGAAATACATATAGAAGACAAATGATGATTTATCAACAATAATTCTCTTTATTTTTCTAGCTTCACGCATGTATACCAGATATTATTTGCCTTGAAGACTCTAAACAGCCTCAGGTATAAACTATGAATGTTGAATTACTATTTTTTTGTTAGACCGGTCCAACCGGCCCCTTCTAAGGGGCCGGTCCAAGTTTATTCAAGGAGGGGGGTGGCGAAAACAGGGAAAGAGAAAAAAGTGGGGTCCAAAGTTGCCTAGGAACCATAATTGAGAACAAATCAAAACATAATTCCTTCCTAAACATCTCATGCTTTTTAATGCAAAAACTTTCCTAATCTAATTTCCCTCCCAAGCCCTAGCCGCCCTCTCCTTTTCAATTTGAATTCAATTGGACTAGTGGGGCCCTCAATGTGGGCGGGCAAGACCAATGGAGGCGGACAGGTTCAGCGTGAACCGGCCTAACAGATGCTAAGCCTGAAACTCGTCTTCAAAAGAGTAGCCTGAATTCTCGTTTTCTGTCCAAATAATATGGATAATTACAATCTTCCCCATATGTGAAGTTAAAACCTACTTGGATCAAAAGAGAAATTGCATCACGATCAAATCTTCAATCTGAATAATGACATTTGGATTAATTGTTAAGAAAATATTCTACGGTGTTATATTCCAGTATTCTCCTATAGTTTCCATGAATGTGCTCATTGCCCACTGGAAATTAAAAAATACACAGCTTGAAAGAATATGAGTGTATAACTAATTTATCAAATTTTATATTAGAGTTTCAAATGCTTTGATACATATTGATACCAAGCAGTATAATCACGATTCATTTATGTCAAATTTTTGAATGATTTTAATACTCTCTTCTGTTCTCATTTGAAGCATGCCAAGAGAGCCAGCTATAATGCCATAAGGAGCTGGAAATCGAAAGCGTCCAGGTTTTTTCATAGCTATTCAGTCCATCCTCTTTTTAGACCTGGTATTTCTAACTTTCTGGAAGTCTACTAACTGGCTACTGCTTTGCTTGTTTGATGTAATTTTTTTTATGTGATCTTAGATTGTTAAAAGGTGGTTGATTTAATACTAATCTCACATAATGAGGTAATTTGAATAGAATTAGTGAATTAGATTGAAGTTATTTGGTAGGCAATCAAATTTGATGATGATTACATATTCTCATTATTGGTGACAATAAGGGAAAAAATCATAATCAACCTTAGTCATTCTAAATAATATTGAACCTTTAGTGCCGATAATTTCCAAACAAGCAGCTTCTAGATTGTCTTTATTTTGTTAAGATGCTTTGTTTCATTAAAATTCAGTCTGAGGTAGTGATTAGGCTGCCTCTACTTAGTGTTAAAGGTGGCATATTGGAGTTATTAGAAACGATCTCTTTGCAAAAAAGATAAGGGAAGATTTTTATATTCTTTTATAGTTTTGCCTAAGAAAATTCAGATCAGTAGAAACCAAACTAAGCTTACATTTCAGTCACCGGTATCGGTTAGTAATTCGCTGAAATCCTTGGTGGGAGTTGTTTGGTTGGTTACCTTAAGCTTGATTTAAAAGGAATTTATGCTAAATCCTGCTTAGGGACTTATCTGAGGAACCATGTAATCTATGTGAACAGTAACAAAGACATGATCTTTAAGATGTGCTTCATAAATATAGAGAAATAATGTATGATTTTGCAAGTATATATAGAGACAAGCACATGGATTAGATTGAAAGATACACACATGGTCATCTATCTCTATTGTTGCTCGGGATGCTTTTGATGAGTGTCTTGAGTAAGTCATTGGCGGTGAGTGTTGTGAACGAGTCTTCCAAGATGGGCATCTTGGTTGAGTCTAGAAGGTGAGTGCACCAAATAAATGAACCCCTCTTAGTAAGTGATGAGTCTTTTGGGCATATGCGGCTTTGAGTTGAAGATGAATGAAGTTGGAGGATTCATAGGGGTGTCAAAAAGGGTACGCGGGTCTGGTTCGTGTCAAACTTGAATTGATCCAGGTTTAAATGGGTTGACCTTAACCTAACCTGTTTTTGCCAAATGGGCCAGGAAATCCAACCTGAACCCAACCCGTGTGGGTTGTCAGGTTGACCCGACCCGACCCGTGAACTTGGGTACGCTCGGGCACAAGCAGACGAGCCGCACGCTGCACGATATTGCTTTGAAGTCATAGCAGAGTAGAGAATCATGGAGGTCGGGATCTTCGCCAGTCTGCCGCTTCAATGAAGTTGAGAATCACCTAACGTCTCTTTGAAGCTCCTTCGGAATCTGGATATGCTAGGATTGTCCTTGGCTCACCGACGGTCCGACCCAGCCATCCAACGACATCCTACTAATCGGTGAGAAACCCTGCGGTTGTGGAATCACCCGACGACGTCCACCAATGGACCAACCGGAGTCCACATCGGCACAGCCCATGAGCTAAAGGAAGAAGCGTTGCGAACGAATCACCGCCTCCCACGCAGAGAGTTGAAACTCGAACAGCTTGAAAACCTGGGTTACCAGGTCAATCTCGAGTCAATTTCGGGTTATCAGGTTCACGCGGACCCGACCTGTTTTTAAAATGGGTTGAAATTTGATTCCCGAACTCGACCCGTTTGTTAAACGAGTTGACCCTAACCCAAATTTTCCGGGTCGGGTTGTCGGTTCGTGTCAATAATTGACACCCCTAAGGATTCATGACTTTAGCTTCATAGGTGTGTGTCTATTGTAGCTTGAACAAGGTTATCTGTGAAATATGTATAACCTTAGCCGGGGAGAAAGATTAGAAGATCCGAGTCCTCAGAATGTTAGTGCCTCTTTGGTGAAAGTTTATTAATGCGATTTCTTTCGTCGAAACTCGCTCGATGAATATGTATCCATGTTCGAGCTCCGCAAACAAGCTCAATAATGCAAATTTCATTGTGGGCGTATACCTATTGATCCCTATTCTTGATCCGGGGGATGCTTCTTTGTGGGCGTGTCTTGATGGAGTTTCTTGAGGGAGAAATTGATTAATATATGGTATTTACATATGTGAACATGTATGAGCATACTACAACAATTATTATGAAAACAGATTATCATATGTGTGAAGCTCAAACTTTTTTATTTTTATTTTTAATACTATTTTTCTCTTTGTTACTTGAGTAATATTAATTCTTACAATCATAGTAGAAAATAATCAACACAAATTGAAAATTTTAACTTAGTGCACAAAAGTTTTTGAGTTGTGCGATCCTTGGCCTCTTTTTCTTTATAAGAAAATTTTAAATTCAATTTCTAATTTTTAAAATTTTTAATTAAATTTCAAAACATTTAAAAGTTAATTAATCTTATTGCATGCATAATAGCATGTCCAATATATCCATTTATGCAATGACATGCATTCGAACAATAGCTTGCTAATACAAACATAAAGGAATCATAAACATTCATAAAAGCTTATGTAAATTTTCATTAAAGTTTATGTGAAAGTGCAAAGGAGAAAATAAGAGCCCGGTGAGTCTCATATACAAATTTTGTTTGTAAAAAATACTTTAGACCTACAAATCACATAAATTTTGTTCTCATCTTTTTATGATATTTAGGCTTCGCTCTAGCTTTTTAGTACAAAAAATTAAATTTTTTATTAAAAAGTTATTTTAAAAAGCAGTAAAAAAGTCGTCCCAAAGGAAGTCTTAATCTCTTTTGTAATTATTTTATGACTATAGTTGGAACCAATCAGATTAATAAGGGCCTGCAAAATTAAGATATAAAGAGCTACTTGTCAACATTTAATCTAATTTGGGTCATTCTCCCAATCTACTTAGCTTGATTTTGTTAGCATTTGTCTTGCACTTAATTACTAAACAAAATAATACAAATTGTTATAACTTTGCTTGTGGACTTTGTAATATTGGAGAAAATGATAGCTTAAAGTATTGATTATTTCCAAGTGGAGTTTGGCAATATCAGAGAAAACAGTGATTATATTTTATAAAAAAAAATTATATATATATAGTTTATTTTATTGTGGATTTAATAATAACATATCATATTTTTCAACTGATTATGAAATATGATTAACATATTTGTAGAACAATTTATTTAGTTCTATAAATATAATGATAGATTTATTTCATTTTTTATAGCAAAATGGCATTTTCAAAGTAAGTTTCTTTTATTTGGATTTTGATGCGACAATTTTTAAGAGGACACGTTTGTATTTTTTTTTTGGTAATAATAATGCAGTGAAAGTTATTTATAACAGCAAAATTAATAATAATTAAGCAAATCAACATCACAATATTTAGGAGTAATAACAATTTCTCATGAAAATAATTACAAATTTTATTGGATTTTAAAGTATTATTTTTATTTCATATTATGAATATTTTTTGCCTTGCACTAACCATGAAAATTATTTTTTTCTTGGACAGCACAAATTATCTTACCAAAAGGAGATCTGAAGCTTGGAATGCTTCCGAATTAGTAAGAAAATTATATCAATGTATATTGATTCAATTCTATTCGCTACAGGTTTCTTCAGCCATTGGCAAATCTATCTGGTCTTGGGATGTAGGTGAGTCAAGTAGACTCGTAAGCCCAGCTTGATTGGCTAACGAGACTAAAATTACTTGATTGGCTCGCGAGCTGCCTTGTCAAAAAATATTAGTATAAATTGTATTTAAAATATATTAGCGTTCATGATTTTAAGTACAAAGTTATTTAAAATATTTAAAAAATATGTGTTGTTCTCTTATATTAAGTTATTTTTTATTATCATTTATTTTCTTATTTCATATTCTTTTGATCATTTTATTATAATAATTACTTAAATCATAATAAATGAGCCAGCACGAATTAGTAGAAGTGCGGCTTATGTCTAAGTTGTAAACAGTACAAGTGGAGCTCAAGTCATTAAGGCTTTGTTTGGGACGGCTGTAATTGTCGGTAAAGTAGGAGAAGCAGCGGAAGCCGGAGAAGCAGCGGACCGCGGGAGTCAGGAAAGGTCGCGGGAAGTAGCGCCAGGCCGCAAAAATTTTTGTAACTTCGTTCTGCCGCAATGTCCCAAACGAGCATTTAACAATTTTTTATAAAGCAACGGAGCCGTGAAGCCGTCCCAAACCAAGCCTGAGTCATCTCTGACTTGAGCTTGAGCTTGAGCATGAATTTGAGTTTTATTCAAGAGTTTAAGCCAGCTCGTTTGTTTTGAACGAGACAAAATGATTCTGATTCACTGAAGTATTATAATAAAATGAAAAAATAAATGAGTAATTAAAAGAAAATTATTAAAAAATAACCTAATATAAGAAGTGGGATAATTTTAAAATATTTTATGAACTTTATACTAGAAATACTAAATATTAAAATATGTTTTAAATTTTAAGTGCATTTTATATTAAAATTTTTTAGAGTTGACTTGCCAAAAAATTATTTAGTTATATAAATATAATGATAGATTTATTTCATTTTTTTATCAAAATAGCATTATCAAAGTAAGTTTGTTTGTTTTGGATTTTGATGCAACGATTTTTAAGAGGACACGTTTGCATATTTTTTTGGTAATAATAATGCAGTGAAAGTTATTTATAACAACAAAATTAATAATAATTAAACAAATCATTATCACAATATTTAGGAGTATTTATAGGAAAGTTTAATCAAACTAATCTATTAATTATCTTGAAAAAGTAGCTTATTTCAAATTAATTTGTAGTTTAATTACCAGTTGTAAAGCTGCAGATCAATAGAAATGAAATGATTAATAATATCTTGTTTTCTTATATGAAGTAATTATTTACTTTTTTTCTTATTTATTTTCTTTTTAATCATTTTATTATAATAATTGTTTAAATCACAATAAATGAGCTGGCACGAATTAGTATAATAAAGTTGGAGTTTGAGCTTAAATTTGATTAATTAATCAAGCTCAAACGAAGGGTGACTCGAGCTATGCTTGTCTTGTTTACACCCCAAATTTGGTCGATCTTTATCTTCTTTTTAGCATCAATTCATGTAGAAATTTTTAGTTATATCCGAGAAGCCTTTGGATAGATCTGCTTCTCTTATTGGGCAAGGAGGAAGGAAGTGCGGCTTCAGCTTTGAGCTTGATTAATTGATTGAGCTTGAGAATGAGCTCGAGTTTTATTTTATGAGTTCAAATCGGCTTATTTATTATGAAAGAGATAAAATGATAGTAAGTACTATAATAAAATAAAAAAAATGAATGAGTAATTAAAAGAAAATTAATAAAAATAACCTAATATAAGAAGTGAGGTATTTTTAAAATATTTTAACAACTTTATACTAAAAATCCTAAATGTTAAAATATGTTTTAAGTGCATTTTATATTAAAAAATTTTTAAAGGAGTTGGCTTGCAAGCTAATGAGTAAAGTAGGGCTAGCGTAGGCTTGGCTAGTGAACTCATTGAGCTTAGCTTATGAGCCATTCATCAAGTTGAGCCCGAGTCAGCTTGACTCAGTTACAACCCCATTTACGACCATAGCTCCATTTGTTGGAACGTAAACTCTTATTTGGTCGAAAAATGCGCACAATTGACAACCTATATCTATGTATCTTGATGAGATTTTCCTTAACTATGTTGCTTAATAGAATGAAGATTGTTCATTGCCAATATTCGGGTGACCATCCTTTAGCCATCACTACATAGAAACCAACCCATTAGATTGCCTCTGCCTTAAAGGATATTTTATCTCACTATGAGATCAATTTTTGGATCATGAAGAATGTTCAATCATAAGATCATTTTGATTTTCATAAAATATATCCATAGGAAGATCCTATTTTAGAGAAGTGGGCCAACTAATTGGTTAGGAGAATGATCGAGCAGATCACTGATTGTCATAAAACATCCAATATTTTTAATTGACTTTCATATGATATCTATCAATTATCAATAACTTGTGTGTCTTCTTGATAGCTAAGTATCCCCATCTATATATGATCTAAAAAATTCCTACTTTGATCTTGAAAGATACTTTTCCCAGTTCATATCTATTATATAGATCAATATTTTTTCTAATTATGAAAGTGTCTATGCCAAAAAAAAAAAAGAGTATTTCAATCACAGGGTAAGGAAAATTATTATGTGCGGTGTCCGGACGTGTCCGTAGGCTAATCCGTACGTGCCACGCCACCCAATATACAGTGCATTGGATGATGTGGCGCGTCCGTATTGGCCTCCAGACGTATTTGAACACTGCACAGAATAATCTCTCGTGAGTGAGAGAGAAAATACTAGTTTAAGTGCAAAAAAGATGATGAATAGAGATGTAATAATTGAATAATTTAGATCTTTCATTCATCATCAACTCATTTTCAAATATACTAACCTACTAATTTTTAATAAATTCCATTGGATTCTCCTTTCCTTAAAAAACAAAAAAAAGTTGTGGCTAGATTGTCATTGATGTGATTGAAAGTATTGCTCAACCTCCACCTGCTTGAACTAATCATTTGCATTACAATAATTTACTATTTCAATACTAAAAACTCATTCTTCTTCATTTTTTTTGGACTTTTGAGCTATTTAAGGGAAGCTCACAAACATTATATATATATAGATTTTGTGCTTAAGATCTCTCGGTTGGTAGCTAAAATTTTAAACGAACATATCAAAATGAGTTGCATCCCAACCTTCTACTGATACAACTACTTGAGTCCTTAACACATTCTATATGCTAATGCATATATTATTTTCATAACACTACTGGTTTCATCGATCAGAGATTAATACTTTGAATTTTTTAATAAAAAAAAATAAAAAATATCTCTTTAAAATAAGTTCTATTTATATGAGATTGGACACAAATTTTTTTAGGATTCGTTTGGGACAATTTTCACCACTTTTATTTATAAAAATTATTAAAAACAGTAAGAAAATAATTAATGCCCAAAAGTTGACTGAGTGCAGTGATGAAATGATATATATATATATATAATTTGATTATTAAAGTTTAGTCTTCTTCTTTTTAGATAAAAATTTTCATTTATTCTCATTTGAAATCATAATTCCACAACTGATTAAGGCTTTGTTTGGCTTTTTGCATGAATAAAAAATTTATTTGGATATTAATACTGCATATGAAGAGTTCATATTGCATTATACTCAAAATAAATAAAATAATTTTTTAATATTTTATTATATAATTTATATACGTAATTTTTATTCGACATTTTAGGAGAATCATAAGGGATGATTGTAAATCTATTGTCTTCCTAAATCTTAAAATAAAATAGAAAGATCATTTGAGTAATTAGTTATTACTCGCCTCAAATAACATAATTACTATGACTTAGATTGGGACGGCTTTCTAACTGCTTTATAAAGCAGCTTTTTAGTAAAAAATTAAAAATTTTGAACTAAAAAATTGTTTTAAGAAGCATTAAAAAAGTTGTCTGAAAGAAGCCTATGTTAGAATCATCTTTTAAAAATAAATATCTCCCTCGAGCTCTGGGAACTAGGGCTTCGCCCTAGTTTTCCTCCCGGCGGCCGCCTTCGGCTTCGTGCGTCCTTCGTGCTATAGGGAAGTTTTCTCTCCCTTTTGTTTCTGTGTTTCGGTTTTTATGGCTTCTTCTCGACTTCTCAACCCTGGTTTTTTACCTGGTTCTTCGCCGCTTTCGTTTAAAGATGCACTCTCTGGTTCTTTGTCCTCCTCCGTTGAATTTCCTGAGCTTAAAATTTCTTCGTTTAGAGGCATGCCTTCCTTGTGGATTTCGGAGATGGAAATCAAATCCCTGGCTGCCCCTTTTGAATTTGCTCTCGTTGGAAAATTGCCTGCACGTCGGCCCTCTCTGGATGCCATTAGGAATTTTTTCTTTAATCTAAAAGTTAATGGGGATGTTTCTGTTACTATTCTTAATCAGAGAAACGTTTTGATTAAGCTCTTCAATGATTTGGATTATTGTAGGGTTTTTGCTCATAGATCTTACTTCGTGAATAACTGTTTTATGAAACTGATTAAGTGGTCTCCTACCTTGGATGTAGAGATCGAATCCCCTGTTATCCCCATATGGATTTCATTTCCTAACATTCGGCCACATCTGTATGCTCCGTGTATTCTTCATGGTCTTGGAATGGTCTTTGGCAAACCTTTAAAAACTGATAATGCTACCTCTACTGGATCCCGCCCATCTGTTGCGAGAGTATTAGTTGAAATTGATGTGTCCAAGCAATTTCCTGATAAAATTTGGGTTGGCCCGGAAAGTTCATGCTATGTGCAATCTGTGGTGTTTGAAGATTTTCCTTAGTATTGTGTTCATTGCTCTTCTTTGGGGCATTCTAAAGCGGGTTGTAAAATTCTTCATCCAATCTTATTCCTCCTTCCTTCATCCGTCCTATATGGGGGGGGGGGAAGTCCTTCGGTGGTTCCGTCTGTTTCTGTGATTTCGCCTGTTGTTGATGGTTTAGCTGTGGTCGGTCCTGTGGTGGATCCGTCTGTTCCTGTGGTTTCACCTGTTCGTGATGATTTTGCTGTTGTTGATATTTCTAATTTGTCTTGTCCTGTTATGTTGCCTTTTTCCTCTTATGTTTTGCTGCCTGCTGAGAATGTTGTTCTTACGAATGATGGGTGTGTTGAGGGTGATAATTCACTTCCTGTAACCCATAATGTGGCAAATGATATGGACCATGTTACTATTGTTAATTGCGATGAAACTGGTTTGGGGGTTGTTGCAGCAAACTTGGAATCGGGTTTACAGGAAGCTAGGAAGATTACCCCTTGTTGAGCTTGTTGGGCCGATTTTCTTCAGTTCTGGATAATCGGGTATGTAATTATAATTTGGTTAAAGATGCGGGGGCTGCTTTGTTTGATTCTTCTAATTCTTTTGTTGACGTCCCTGTGAAAATGATTGAGAATCAAGCACTGGTGTATCAAGTGGGAAAATTTTCAGGGATGGATGTTAGGAATAATCATGATTGGTTGCATGGCACGTCTGAAGTTGAATCCGACTCTGACTATTCCTCGGATTACTGTGGCGGTTCCGACCCTGGTATTGAGTTTAAACTAGTTCGTGATAGACCTGTTCTCTCTGTCCCCTCTCACGGTAGATTTCGTGGGAGGGGTAGGAGAGGTAGATGGCTATTCGTTTTGGTGATGAATCCTTTGCTAATTTTGGATTGGTATTTTGGACCCTCGCTTATCTCTGTTTGTTCTAGGCAATGATGTGGCTGGAACTCGTATCCTCGACGTCATTTCTTGTGGCAACCATTGGTGATTTGTTCTCATGGATTGATCGATTGGAGTGGATTTTTAGTCAATTTGGATGGTCTGTGCGTGTTATCGAGGATGCTGGAAGCCTCGACCGTTTACTGAGCTGACATTTTGATCCCCTTCGATCACTTTTGTATGTGTTGTTTAATTTTGTTTTTTGGCCTTTGTTCTAAAAAAAAATCTTTTAAAGATAAATATTATTTGTATCAAGATAACATAATTATAAAATTGATCAAGAAAAAAAATCAATAAATTAAAAAAACACTTTTTTTTTTCATTTCCAAAAACAAGACATTAATACACTCACACATACAAACTTATGTTTATTTACAACAAGCATTGCTAATTAATTAAAAGAAATTTGGGTCAGGATATTTTGATTTGATTTGATTTAATTAAGATATATTTTATAATTATTAAATTTATTTTAAGATAAATATAATATATGATAAATTAATCAAAATTTATATCATATTTATCTTAAAACTAAAAGTAATAATTTTAAAACTCATCTTATTAAAAAAAATCTATAAAAATATCCTTTTTTTATATATTTTCCCCAATTAATTTCCATCTCTTATCCGCGGCATAGATTTCGACCCGCCCATGCTTTTCCCCCGACCGGCCGTACTACCGAAGCTCCGCAACGCCGGAGCATATCTCAGCCAATTTAAAAAACTATCTTTGTACGGCAACGCCGTCTTCTTCTTCATCTCCTCCGCCGCCGCCCTGTTCGCCGCATAATGCATCGCGTGCGGCGATGATGCCCACCGGGAACTCGAACTCCTCGACTCATCCCCTCCGCTTCCCTTCTTACCTTTGGACGCCAAACAAGCCGCCGTGTACTTCCGCAATACGTCCTTGTTCCGATCACCTGTAGCTCTCCCCTCGGAAGCGCTGCGGAAGAGAAGAAGATCTTTGAAGCTCCATTTCTTGCTGCTGATGGTGTTTTCTTCCTCGGTTTTGCAGCGGGTTGGGGAAGGATTATTGAGATGGATTTCGTTTCGCAATGGAGAGAGGGAACGGGATCCCTTTCGGCTTCGGGAGGAAAGGGAAGGGGCTCTGTTTCGGCTTCGGGTTTCTCGATTCGGTTCGGCCATGGAGGTGGAGAAAGGGTCGGAGCTTTTGGCGCCGATGCGGTGGGTGGTGTCTGGAGAGCAGAGACCGACGGGGAATTTGAGGGCGCGTATTTTACCTATTAATAATAAAAAAAGGAAAAAAAATTGCTGATTTAGAAATAAGAAGTTTGTGAATTGAAAAAAAAAATTGTTTTTGGCATTTGCAAAATTTGAAATCATCAAAAACTTCATTACCTTCATAGAATAATTCATCGGCGGTTGTAAGCTGCGGCGGGGGAGCGTTTTTATCGAGATGGCCGCTGAAATCGAAAGCGAAGTCGTCATCTTCCTCTTCCGTAGCTAGCAATGAGCAGTATCCCCCGCCGGCGACGGTCGTGGCTGGGCTGGTGGGGGCGGCGGCGTGACGGCGATGGAATCCACTGGAGTCGCAGGTGAAGCGCTTTGGACTGGAAGAGGAGCTCATATAAGCTGTTCTAGTTTTGCTGTTGAGATGGAGTTCCTGAACTGGTATCACTACTTCCATCTCTGAAGCAACTTTTCTTCTTTCTTTTTCTTCGAATTTGTTTTATGTTTGGATGAGAGCTTGAGGGGAGAGGAGATAGCTGCAGAGCTTGGTTTTATACGCAGAGAGGAGGAGAAGGGTTCTATAAAAGAATTCGGCAAAGAAGCTTTTAAGGAGATTTTTATTAAAAATGTTGCTGTTTACACTTCAAAATTTAAAGTATTGATGGAAATAACCCTCAAGAGGGTTTTGATTATAAAATAAACCCTAAAGAAGATAGTAATACTAGAATAAAAATAAAAATTGATGTAAACCATGTTTAATTTGTTTTAAGATTAATTAAATTTATAAAAAAAAATCTAATTTCATTCTCAATAATTATTCACAGTTTTGATGATTAGATCATATTGTATATATTTATATAAATTTGTTATTACATTTTTGAACTATTTGTTCTTAAACTTATAAATATATAAGATTTAAATGGCATGCACATAAATCTCTCAAAAATGATAAATGAGCCAAACATTTTAAAACTCGGATTCGATTCGGAATTCCATGAAAATATAAATTTTCAAATTCAATTAAATTAAAAAAATAAAATATTACAAAAAATATATTTAATTTATGAAAAAATAGAGAATTAACTAATTTGATTTTGCTTATAACATATGAAATTTAATGGAGCCTCATTATTAAAATTTAGATTATTTTAAATTTAAATAAATCTTAATTCAAATTATTTCCTTAAGGCAAGCGGAATTTGCTTACAACATTATGTCATATCAATCCATAGGAAAAAGCCCATTTGGCATCGTCTACACCAAGCAGACGAACCACACAATAGATGTGGCAGTACTTACCAAGTGCAACAAAAAAGCAGCTTCGGTACTCGTGGAGCAGTTTTCTTCCATACTTGCAGATATCCGCAACAAGCTAATTGAGTCTAACAATAAGTACAAACAAGCAGCAGACAAGCACCGCCGTGAGAAACTCTACAGTCCGAGTGACTTAATCATGGTACACCTGAGGCGTGAACGATTTGCTCCCATAACCTATTCTAAATTGACCCGCCGACAAATCAATCATGCTCCTACCCTCAGGCAAATCAATGCAAACGCCTACGTTGTTGATTTGTCACCTGAACTTAATACTTCATCCACTTTTAATGTCGCAGACATGTTCGCATACCACCCACCCACCAGATGAAGCAAAAACCCACATTTCATCATCCGAGTAGGATTCTTCAGTTACTGGCACCGCATCATACCCATTCTATCCTTTTTATTAGTTATTGCTTTTGACTTACCGTTAGGATTAGTGCCACTTTGTTTCTATTTACAGTTCTATAGGACATTTATTTACCTTTTGCATGGTATGGCTATTTTTAGCAAGAGAATGCGTCTCTTCATAGTTTATCTTCTTCCCATGAAGGAGAGCAAGTTAGTTTTTCAATATACTTACTACAGTTATCTCCGTTACCTATTTGACTTGTGTTTTGTGCTTTTGCCACCTGCTTCTTCCACAGATTACCACATCACATATACATATATAGGCTTCCATAGGATCTTCTTGTACAATCATCTCATTCTACATATACGTAATAATTTTTCCTTAAACTCCATAATCTTATCCCCATTGAATTGTTTTGCCTTCTTGCTCCTTGTAATACTTTTCAATTATAATTAGAGAGAGAAAGTAGGGGTGAATAGAAAGCCAGTTACGGATAAAGGGCGCAGATAATAATTTTGAGTTCTGAGATAAATACTTCATTAATAATGAAAATTCATTACAAAGAAACCCCTATTTAGAGCCATAAATATCCTGATTAAAATAATGAAGAAAATGTGCTCAACTTGTCATATAAGTGATATAGCTTAATTATATGATGATTAGTCAATCCTATCTAAAAATTATCCTTGGTCAAGGTTTGATCGACCATATATACATGCAATCGATACCTTGATATATATTCTTGCTTTCTATAACTAGACTTTGACTTTGTTTGGGATGACTTTCTTACTGATTCTTAAAGCATCTTTTTAGTATAAAAATTTTAATTTTAAAACTAGAAAGTTGTCTTAAAAAATAATAAAAAAGCCGTCACAAACGAAGCTTTCTGACGCAGGAGCTGTTGTGTTTTAAACACATAAATAAATCTTGTATTCATCAATGAACCAAACCGGCTGCTTATAGATATCCGGTTCTGTTTCTTTTCTATGGGCTGGTTTAGTCTTCTTATTTAAGTCTAGATTAGTTATTTCAAATTGTCTATTTAAAGAGTCCTGTAGGGTAGGTAAGGGAGAGAGGTTTGTAAGCAGAAATTCTGCATTTTCTTTTTCCCTTGCTTGAAGGGCTGTAACCTGGCGTGGCAAACCAGGGGGTGATTCTGCCGTAATAAAGCTAAGTTCTTCGTGTTCTCTTTTTACAAAGTATTCTGTGATTTCTGGTTTGATCTTTTCTCAAGTGTTGTGATTCAACTTTGACACCAATTAATCAATAACGGTGTCAAGTGGTATCAGAGCACAATATATTGTTCTTTCTTTCCCTTACTATCTTCATCTCAGGCAACCACAACCATGCCGCCGAGAAAGGGAATTACAAGAAACAATCAAGAACAAACAATCGAGGAACTACGCCAGGAGATCCAAAGATTGCAAGATAAGTTGGCTGCGGTAGAGGTCAATCAACAAGGAGAAACATCACATGAAAGGGAAGAACCACATCCGGAAGAAGCTGATGAGAACCCTTTTCATCGAGAGGGTTTGAGCGGAGAAGATGATATTCCGTTGAGATATCTTAGGCGAGAACCCAGAAGATCTACGCACGACTACGGTATACGGCTTGATCTACCAGAATTCGAGGGGCGGTTAGATCCAGATGAATTCATCAATTGGTTACACACCATTGAACGAATTCTTGATTACAAAGAAATCCCGCAAGAACGCATTGTCAAACTTGTCGCCATTAAACTCAAAGGCAATGCCTCACTATGGTGGGAAAATCTCAAACGATCTCGCCAAAGAGAAGGAAAATCAAGAATCACGACGTGGGCCAAAATGATCAAAGAACTCCAAAAGAAGTTCTTACCTATGCACTATCGCCAAGATATGTTTCTCCGCCTACACAATCTACAACAGCACGAACTTTCAGTAGAAGAATACGCTGCTGAATTTGAGCAATTAGGTCTCAAATGCCAATTGGAGGAGCCAGAAGAAAACACCATTGCGAGATTCTTGGGTGGACTTCACTCGTCCATTTCCAACATTGTACACCTCCAACCCTATTGGACGTTGTCCGACGTCATTAACCTGTCATTGAAGGTAGAAAAACAATTGAAGCAAGGAAAACGACGAATATCCACTGGAGAGCAGCTGACCGGAACACACCCAACGAGCAGTAAACTACAGGAGAAAAGAAATACCAACCCGTACGTACCAAATGTAGGACCTAATGTGACCCACCCTCGGCCGATCACAAACAGCCAGTCCACTAATCCTATTCCAGCAAGAAGATGTTTCAAATGCCATGGATTCGGTCACATAGCAGCCAATTGTCCTACTAGACGGTTGGTTACCTTGATGGAAGAGGTTCAGATGGATGAAGATTCCGGTGAAGGAAATTCAACCCAATTACAAGAGACGGAACAAATCATTCCAGCTGATGAAGGAGAACTCTTAGTCATCAGACGACTATTGAATACTCAATACGAGCCTAAACGTCAATGGTTGAGACACAACATCTTTAGGACAAGGTGCACCGTCCACGGCAAAGTTTGTAATCTCATCATTGACAGCGGTAGTTGTGAAAACGTGGTCTCCTCGTTGATGATCGAGAAATTACAATTGGCCACGCAGCCCCATCCTCAACTGTATAAGCTAGTGTGGCTGAAGAAAGGCAACGAGATTGAGGTAAACCGTCAGTGTTTAGTTCAGTTCTCCATGGGTAAAGATTTTCAAGAACAAGTTCTATGTGATGTGGTACCTATGGATGCATGCCACTTACTGTTGGGGCGACCATGGCAATACGATCGAAAGACAATTCATGATGGTTTTCACAACACGTATTCCTTCCAGGACAACGGTCGAACACGGATACTCACACCTTACAATGACAACCAAGAAAAGAAACCTGCTACACAACCAACCGAACTGTTGCAATTGACCACCAAGACCGAATCAACCAATATGTTTACTCAGGCCCTCAAAGCTGAACAGCATGGATTGGTTTTATTACTATTGGTTGAAAACAAGGAACAAAAACAACATCCTTCTGAAATTCAACCTCTACTGCGGGAATTCCATCAGGTATTTCCTGATAAACTTCCTACAGGTGTACCCCCCATGCGCGAAGTACAGCATGCCGTAGACTTCATACCCGGATCTGTCATTCCCAATAGACCAACGTACAGAATGTCACCCAAAAACTACGAAGAGCTACAAAGACAAGTAGAAGAACTAATTTCAGCAGGATTTGTAAGACCCAGTGCCAGCCCATGCGCCGTCCCTGCTCTCCTTGTACCCAAGAAAGATGGCACATGGCGAATGTGTATTGACAGCCGAACTGTAAATAAGATCACCATCAAGTACAGATTTCCCATTCCACGAGTAGATGATTTATTTGATCAATTAAGTGGTGCCTGCATTTTTTCCAAAATAGATCTCAGGAGTGGGTACCACCAAATCAGAATGAGGCCAGGCGACGAATGGAAAACAGCTTTTAAAACAAGGGATGGTTTATATGAGTGGACCGTTATGCCCTTCGGGTTATCCAACGCACCAAGTACCTTCATGCGACTTATGAATCAGGTTTTTCGTTCCTATTTAAATAAATTCCTTGTTATTTACTTTGATGATATTTTAATTTACAGTCAAAACATGGAAGAACATCTTCAACACCTAAAACAAGTTTTTCTTGTATTGTTGGAACAACATCTTTTTGCTAACACTACTAAATGTGAATTCCTTGTAGATACTATCAAATTTTTAGGTTTTGTTATCTCTCCAACAGGACTTGAGATGGATTTTGATAAGGTGAAAGCTATTCACGGATGGCCCACTCCCACATCCATAAATGACGTTCGACGATTCCACGGTTTGGCATCTTTTTACCGAAGATTTATTCAGAATTTTAGCATGGTTGCTGCACCACTGACCGAAATCCTCAAAAGACCACAA